GGCTTTATTTGAAACCAGAATGAGCTGTCTCCAGTAGCTTAACTTACTTAGACAAATTGCGTTTAGTTGTTAGAAAAACTAGCTGTAAAAGTGTCAAACACGTTTAAATAGACAAGGAAATGTGCTGAAATGCTGTCTGAGCTATTTGGTTGGGAAGAAAGAAGTGCAAGTGTTGCTAACCTCCTGAGTTTATTGCTGCTTTTCAAACTACGTGACCTTCCCCTGCTTGCTTGAAGTAGTGCAATTTATGAGATCAAAGTTGAGCTCATCTTGTCATCTCTTGTTTCTGAGAAGGGTTTGAAGTATATTTACATGTATAGTGTTTGAATGAGTCCAGTGGCTTTTGATGCTTTCAGTAAGTTTTCAATTTGAGACAATTTTTGGAAGTTGCAATAATGGCTTACAGTGTGTTTTCACCTTCAAATAATTCTAAAAATGAGGTTAAATATTTCTAAAAAAATGTATAAAGGTTTAAAATGTTGCAACACCTTCTAGGTGGAACTTGCTGTCACACCACCCCCACATCTCTTTTTCTGTCCTTGATGTCTCTCTGGCTACACCTGAAGCAACATTTTCCATTGTGAAAGAACGTTGGCAGGATTTTCAATCTTCAGTAATCCTGCATTTGCTGAAACTTGTAACAGCTGCATGGAGAACAGTTGGTAGTTCTACAAATACGTAATGGAGCAGGGTTCTTTAATCTTCTCGTTGGGGCATTTATTGAAGCAAGCTGTCTTGACTGAATATTTTAGAGTTAACTGGTTTGGATAGACTGCATAGAGTCTTGTCATTGAGGAAGCCCGTGGTGCATGATTTAAACTAAATTAATACAAAATATTTGCTCCAAAATATCTACAACAAACAACAGGTTTGTTGTACCACAGTTTATTCCATCTGTAGCATGCTATTGACATGTTTCCTACAAGGGGGATGTGCTGTTGATTGTGCTTGGTGATGGAATCATGGAATCACCACGTTTGGAACAGACCTACGAGATCATCAGTCCAACCATCCACTTAGCACCAGTATTTCCCCACTAAGCCACGTCCCTTAGTGCCACATCTAAATGTTTCTTGAACACCTCCAGAGACAGTGACTCAAATACCTGCCTGGGTAGCCCATTCCATTTCCAGCCATTCAAGAGCAACAGTTAAAAGATAGGCTTATCACATTACTTGAAATAACAAATTATTAAGAAAGAAAGAAAGGAAGGTTTTTTTTTTTTTTTAAGGTTAATTTATTTTTTGCTAAATCCTTAAACAAACAAAAAAGCTGTAGAGTACAGCTTATGATCTACTTTTGATTAGCTATTTTGTAAATGAGGACAAATTCTGTGATAAATTAGATAAAAATTGGGATAGTGTTATGTACTTTGCTTAATTGAAAAAAAACAACCAGTTGTAGGTTGGATTAATGGCTTGAAGTGCCAGTGACAGACTATTTTGCCAAGTCTGGCACAAAGTTTTAAGCAGATTTTAAAAGCTTTAGTTGTTGTATACTTAAAAAAAAAAAAAAAAGGCATTTTCAGCCTTTTTTTTTCAGCCTTCTTTGAAGAATACTGCAGAATTTGCAGGTGTAATGGGAGAGAATTGGGGTAGATTTGGGAGCTTCAGGTATATGCAGGTCTTGATATCAACTTAATGATTCCACACATAGGAACCTTGAACACCTTTGTAGCTCTGGGAACAATTGCTTATGAAGGAAAACCTTGCTTTGATCAAGTTTTGTGTATATTTAAGTTCTTCATGATAGAAGCATGGGCAGTTCTATCTCTAGAAGTCTATTTCCTCATTGCCTTCAGAAATTAACTTTTTGGGCACTGTTAAGTGTTTTTCTTTTTGGTGTCCCTCTGGTATGTACAGTTTCAAAAAACTGAGCAATGAAGAACCAGAGAGAGCTTAGATGTAAGCCTCAGACAACTTAGTATTTGGATTTAACAAGGAATATAATATATATGTAAATACTTAAAAATCAGAACTCTCCGAGGATATAATTGCCTGATGTTCTCACTTTAAAACTGGGAAGGCTTGCTAGTAGTAACTTTAGTCTTGAATTCCTTCATTCACTAACTCTGGTCGTTTAGCACGTTCTCTTTCTCATGTCCAGTATTTATTATATACTGCAACTTGTCAATGAAAATCTCTTCTCAGTGAATTCTGCTGGATGTATTGGTGAGAAAATAGATAAGTTTTCCTGTTGTTGGGTAGAAGAAAAGATTGAATGTCTCTGTTTTTTACTTTTCTGTCAGTAACACTGGGTCTACGGATTTTTTTTTAATGTGTGAAATTAAGTGGGCCAGTATGTTACCTTACAATGATGCCCTTATTTGCTTGTATTTCCTTCTGGTAGGTTTGCAAGAGAAGCACAGATGGATGCTTGTGCTGTTTGAGAGAAGGGAAATTGAAGATCAGGTGCAGATTTGATGGGCTGAGCTTGTATGTGCACTCCCAAAAGTGCCTCAAAAGGTTTCCTAAAGCACAAAAATGCACAATTGGGTGGGTTAAAAAAAGTAATAATAATTCGCAAGAAATTGTAGTGATAATTGTTCTCTGCAACTGTCTCTAGAACTCTTTTCTGTTTGCAACAGTATGCCTTTATTTAACAGCCTTTTACTCAGATTTTGATAATTGACCATGATCAGAAAAGATTGGCCGGGCCACTACATATTGTAAAAGACCATCTTCCTGGTCCTTTTCTCTTATTTTGCCTGCTGCTGAAATAATTACCTTATGGAGTAATGTTAAAAGAAAAATATCAATGGCAAAATCCTGCTTGTGTGTTTTGGAGACAGAAGCTGCTGCCTAGGATGTTTGTGGGAGAAGATGAGTTAGCCCAAATGAAATTTGGTCGACTGACTTGCATCAGATGTCTTCTGGGATCTGTTTCCCGTAGTTCCTATAACAAGTGATCTATTGTTTGTTTATGTGAAGGACTCTCTTAAAGACTCTTTCAACTCTAAAACAGTATCGGTCGTGAATGGGATCAGAAATACAGAGTTTGCTTTGCAATTTTCTTGGCACAAAGGCCTCCATGTTTGTTTCTTGCGCAATGAAGTGGGAGGCAGACTCTTCTGTCTTTGTAGAAAGAAAGCTTGTTGGCAAGCGAGGGGGGGAAAGACCCAATATTAAGCCATACAAAAAACTCACTTAGGACTCTTTTCAGTAAATGTCATGAAAAACTGGAAGATCTGAAATGTCATTTAAAATGTATTTAGGAATAAGCCAAAGCAATTTGATGTAAACATCTGGGTGGAGTGCTTATTCAACATATTGACTTTTTAATTGGTGGCAGTTATCCAGATGAAGCCAGCTCTTAAACTAGCTTTATTTTAATTAGTTTAATTATAGCAAGTGCTTAATCTGCTCAGTACAGTGCCTGACTTCTCCATTATTTTCCATGGTATATGTGCTTTTTCTAAATGCAAGGTGCTAAGTATGTCATCTTCTTATTACTAAAAATTGGTGGGTTTTTCTTTTGGTTTGTTAGGATAGTGAGCTTGAAACTGTTTCGGTGTTAATATCTTGTGAATAGGAAGTACTAAGCAAATATGAAAATAAGCCATGGAATGATCAAGCAGTGGGCTTTTTTCCTTCCCATCGGGTGTTTGGACCAAGCTGGTTGTATCAGCTTTCTTTACAGTCAATAAAGAGACTTTGAGTAAGTTTCCTTCCATACATGCATCTGCCTTGCTACTGTGACACAAAATCAATGTTATGCTTCAGAGCTTGGTAACAGGAACCAAGGTTCAGGTATGAGGCAGTAAGTGTGGGTGCACGTGCGTGTCTGTATGTGTATCTAAGGAGAAAACTTTAAAAACATTTGGTGAGGGCACTGGCTGCTCAGAGAAGCTGTGGGTGCCCCATCCCTGGAGGTGCTCAAGGTTGGATGGGGCCCTGGGCAGCCCGAGCTGGTGGGGGTTGGGGCTGGGTGGACTTTGAGGTCCCTTCCAACCCATGTTGTTTCTTGGTTCTACACTGTAAAACAAATCATAGAATCACTAAGGTTGGAAAAGACCCACAGGATCATCCAGTCCAACCATTAACCCATCACCAATGGTTCTCGCTAAACCATGTCCCTCAACACAACATCCAAACATTCCTTGAACACCTGGTTCTCTTTGGTAACTTCTTAGAAAGTTGCATTATCTCACATATTGACTTATTCTTGTCATTTTATCTTACCTTTAAGTCTTATAAATTTTTAACTGAAGTTTTCTACAGAACTGTGATGAGAGTAGAGCCTGGAGAAAACCAGTTCCTTTTTACTACAGCTTTTTAACTAAAAGCTTGTTCACATTCAGACAGAACTCAGATCTTTAGAAGAGCTTTGGGAATAAATAGACCGGCAGCTTAATGAGAGTCTCAGAAATCTTAGAACTGACAATCTTCAAATAATGCTTGTTCTCAGGAAAAGAAAATAGTACAGTATGGTATAAGGAAAAGATTAGTTAAATTTCAAAATAGGTCTACTAGGAGTGTTGTTTCATCAGTGATTCACTGGGGAAAAGGGCAGTTTCCTGATATTCTTTGTGCATTTTGAGTTTTCCCTGACCTGGAATCTAGCTGCCTCCCAGCCTGTTGGTAACTTCTGCTGCTGTGCAATCTGAAGAGATGGAACTCAAGACAATGGAGCTGTAAAAGTGGGTGGTGAGGAAAAGGAAACGTAGAGGGAGCCGTTCTAAAATAATGAGTGGAAGATCTGGCTTCAACTAACTGTGAATTGTATTTTCTTTCAAGTTAGCTGGCAGCAGCTGCACTGAGGCCGGGCAGCCCTGCAGTGAGGCTCTGGGCTGCATGGCCTCAGCCTGTCAGGCTCAGCAGAGCTGGGTCAGCCGGGTCCTGCCCAGTACAGATGGAGTGTGGAAGGTGATGATTGCTTTGACAATAAGTCTCCTTGAGGAGATAACCTGCCGTCTTCATGTTTGTCTGAAAGATAGGTTGATTTTGTACAGTCAATTTATTTGAAAACCTAATTTAGATTCTGTTTTGTGTTCTTTTTAGATTGGGGCATATGATCAGCAAATATGGGAAAAATCAGTAGAACAAAGAGAAATCAAGGTAATACAGTATATCAAGTCTTTTTCTTTCTTTCTTTCTTTCTTTTTTTTTTTGCCAATTATCAGTAATGCTGTAATTGTTTGTGCTGATGTAATTTACAATGTATGGGATATTCTTTAATGCTGATGAAGCAAAAACAGACTTCTGGAGTGTAACCAAATTAAACATAGCATACTCTATTTACTTTATATGACTGCTAAATCCACAGCATTTAAAAGTTCTACATCCGTCTGTACTTCAGTGCTTTTTTATTATTATCTTAAGCCAGAGCTTAGTTTATGAGTGCCTCTCTTTCACTCTGTGATGAATTCTAACACCAGTTATCTGAGCTCTCCTTACTTTCAGTTAGTTACCTTATCCCTCCAGTTCACTTTTCCTCCTTTATGATGCTGTCATTGTTTTGTACAGTTTATTAGACTGGTAAGTACTTCAGGCTTTGTGTCCTGAGAAAGCAGTTAACAGCAGTTTTTTGCATTTTGGTTTAACTAACAGTGCCATCAGTGTCTGCTGCATTGCTACAGCGTTCTGGGGAAAATAGTCAGTCCTATGTGTAATACTTCTGCTGATTGTAGATCGTGTCATACTCTGTAATAATGTTAAAATTAGTTTCTCTGGTGTTTTCTTGCAATTAACCTTTTCTCTTCAAGTACTGCACACAAGAAATATGCTATTACTGCATGAGCTTAAAGGCTGTGTTAATTCTTAGCATTAGTAAAATACACATTTCTTCAGCATTCCTGTGGTTTTTTGATTATTCTTCTCCACTACTTCAATAGCTAAATAGCAAGTGTTAGGGAGATCATTACATGGGAGCTCTCACCGACCTGATCTCTCTACAAAATCTACAGATTAGCTTTTAAATCAGAGATAATATTTTCAGAAGTGCTTCCGAGCCTGATAAGGGATCTTTGTGACACCACACCTCCAGAGCTGTGCAGCGTGCCCCGTTAGGCAGCACGAGGAGGAGTGGGCTGCTGCTGGTGCTGAGCTGGGTGAGTGCAGCTGCGGGGAGACCTGGGGACTGTGCAGCTCAGGTGCTGGGAGCTGCCAGGCAGCCCTCCCTGGCTCAGTAGTGCTGCGTGCCGCATGAGGTGCAGCTTTGATTGCTGCCATACGCTGGTGTGATCAGGAGGCTGTTGCACGACAATTGCATCTTGTGCTACCCGCTGTCTGAAGCATGCAGAGAGGAGGTGCAGAAATGCTCTTGATATTGGCACAACTAATTTCAAACAAAGGTGTTGGCGTGTGACTTTATTTTCAGTGTCTTTTCAGTGACTGTGAAAACCATTTGCCATTACGACAGAAGTTCTTGTAGCTGCTGTGTAATAGGGCAACATTCAAATCGTTCATTGCAAATAACAGTTCTTGACCTGTGGGAAATTCAGCTTCTTTGGGTTATAGGTTGATAATTAACAAATTAAACAATGGGAGAAATGATAGCGCCCAGAAGAGTTAGCATTGATGGGGAGGCTTTCAAGGGAGACTGGATGGGGCCCTGGACAACCTGGTCTAGCTGTGGTGTCCCTGTCCATTGCAGAGAAGCTGGACTGGGTGGCCTTCAGAGGTCTCTTCCAACCCTGAGGAGTCCATGACTTAGCATAGTGAAGGGAGCACTGAAACAGGTTGTTACATTCAGGTGTCATACCTTTAAACTTCTATCTCAAAGCCATTGTAACGCTGTTTGTAAATGAACTTAACTAAAGGAGTTAATAAAGAACTTAACCAAGAAGTTATTTTTAGTAAAATATATAATATATATATATAGCCAGTAGTATAAATTAATATTAATATTAATAGGGTAGTTTTAACTGAACTATTAATTTTAAACTTTGTGCAGTGGAGTTTTTACAACAGTATTTTTAAGACCTTTTATTTTATATTATTATTAATAATTATTAATATTAATATGTATTTAATATATAAATATTTTATATTAACAATTAATTAATAATTATAATTAATTTATATTAAACCTTGTGGTTTTTATATTATGTAGCAGAAATGTGTTAAGTACTGAATAGAAATTATGTGAGTTAATTGGATGGACCTGAATAGCATGGAACATAATTATTTCTTAATTAACCTTATTTTGGAACACTGCTGTTTTCTGCATACATTACACAAGTTTGTGACACATGAATAGAGAAATTGCATCTTAATAAAAGGAATTCTTTCACTGTGTGTGGCAAAAAGTAGAGCTACCAGTTTACTATAGTTCATGGACACTGAAAGCATTTGAGATTTGACCAGTGACATTTTTTAAGAATGTCAGCACTGCTCTCCCTATGAAAGATGCATTGAGTTCCATTGTTGACTTTTTTTTTCTTTTTTTTTTTAAAGTTCTTTCTGTAGAATGAACATAGGCACAGTGGTAAATCGTTCATAGGACTGTCTGTATTTCCAGTGGGTTATTTCTTCTAAGATGCACATATCTGTTTATTTAGAGTTTTGAGGAAAAAATCGTGAGGCCCATAAGCAGCAGTACAGTTGAAATGTATTGTATCATACAGTATCTTCTATTTTTAATCTTTAGAACCTTTTATGAAATGGAGTGGCTTGCTTATGCAAGAATTCCCAGCAATATATAGCTATTTATGGAGTTACAGTAATTACAATTTCTAAGTATGGGCTTCCACATAAAATTACTGCAGTTTTAAGACTGCTGACCTATGAAAATCTTGTACATTAAACAGTGCTAAGTCTGCAGTAAAACAGCGTTTGTCATCTTAAGAGCACATTTTGTCCTAACCACCCATCAATTCCATGTATTAATTTTGTTTAATTTCAAGCAAACTCTCTTTTTTCTAATGGATCTACCAGGTGCTGACTATACAGCTAGTTCCTGGCCAACAGTGATTTCTTCTTGTTGGTTTTGGTTTTTATATTGTAGTGTTATTTTAAAAGTAAGTCCAGCTGAATTGAAGTGCAAGAAATATTTTGAGCCGCACTATTTGAAAACATGCTTTATGTAGTTGCTATGAAGATTAACACAGCTAGATGTCATTGATCTTTCTCTCATTTTTATTCATTTAATTTGTATAATTTTATCTAAATTTAATGCTTATACTTAAGTAATACTTTTTTTTTTTTTTAAACATGAATGTAATATGACTGTGTTGGAAATCTGCAGTTCACCAGCAAATGGAACTGCTATTTGAATGAGCGCAGTTAAATCGCTTCCATTATAATTCCATTTTGTATCCTCAATATTTTTTTGAATTGCTATATTTTACTCTGTCTGAATTGTACATGGAATCGTTATTAGCTAATGTGACCAGGAGCCTGATCTGAAGGCATCAAAGTAAACTCACAAATATCTGTCTCTAAGCATCACATCTTAACATAAAGAATAAGCTTGACAGTTTTGCGAGGAAGTTTGGCTCTCCCATAAGGAAAGGTGCTGTTTCTAAAAGAAAGAATAAATAGAAACTTTCTCGTTTTCCCTGCTGCTTTCCTGTGTTGTTTACTTTTCCTCTTCTTTTTAATAGGCTGTTCTATGTTCGGTATTGGGAATTCTAATAGTTTCTAGAATTTGGACTTCTGACAGCAGAACTTGCTGTTGATTAGTGCTTTTACATTACAATGTGATTTGCTGTTTAGTTTTAGAATTGAGGAGTTCTAATATGAGCATTTGATGAAGTTTAATTAAATATCGAAGGAGAAAAGATTCAGGAAAGTAATTTGTGACAAAAGTTCTGGAAACCTAATATGAATGTACTACTAATTGTTGCAAGTGTGTGCAGATTTTGTCTGTATAACCCAAAGCCATGGAGCCATTAAGCTCAGTGCTTAACAACATTTTGGATCTACGTAGTTGGGTCAGTAATTGTTGAGGTTTTGTTTAGATTGTCAGGTGTGAAAAAGGCATTGATTTGTGCCTTGTACCTCAGAATGTTTTATAGTACTTTAAGTCTCTGAAGTTGACTTTTGTCTGAATCGTTTAGAACAGTATAGATTAAACACAATTACTGACCACACCATTATTACCACATCACATTATTTCTGTCTTCTGTGTCAATATATGCTGATGTTCAATATTTGCGTATTTCAGGGTTTGAGAAACAAACCAAAGAAAACAGGACATGTAAAACCAGACCTCATAGATGTTGATCTTGTACGAGGTAAGTCTTGAGCTAGAAGAAGACACATTTCTCAAAATTAAATGAACTACCAGCCTGTCTCATAAGCTGAAGGCTCAAAAAAATGGATTTAATTTTTGAATAGACTTAGGTTTTGAGAAAAAGAAATTACTGGATTTCTATGGATGATAGTTTGGGCATTATCAGTTCAGCAGTCTCCTATTTCCATACTTCCAGACTTCTTTCAAATCTTCTGATGGTTTGAGGAAAGATTGTGTTAAAATTTTGGAAGAGTAACAGTTGTATAGGCATTAAATATTCCTTACACATTTTCAAGAGCAAAACAACAAGAGAAGGTCAGAGTGATGTAAGACTTCTCAAGAAGTATTTAATCTTTATTTGATCTTTATTTAATTTTCCTCATACCTCACAAAGACTGGGGAAAATGTTATCTAGATTATTTTTCCATGAGCCCAGCAGCCAGCTTGTCCTCAAAAATACATTCCTGTAGTGCTTGTTGAATTCATATTTAGAATTAGCAGACTCCTTGGTCTTTGCTAGCAGTCATGGAGTTGCTTACACATATGCACACTCTCCAGTTGTGGGTGACATGGATACACAGACTCTCTTAGAGCCATAGGTCTAAGCAATACTAGACAGTTTTCTAGGTGCCAAAGAAGTGGGAATTTGCAGGAAGCAAGAAGGGAAAGTAATGGAAAGACATGGAAGAAAGAGAGTGTTTGAATGAGTGAGATGAAAATTGGTATAGAAGAAGAGACAGATAAATTAGTCTTTGGGTGGCTTCCCTTCTCCTAGAGCTAGGAGTTAGCAGGTTGACTGATACTGCTCCATGTTTCTCAACTGTATTCCACTTTCCTGAATGCACTACAGCAGTGCTCTGTGTTGATTACCATCAACATAGATGCATTTGGAACTATGTATAATTACATTTAATTACTGATCCTCTGTCTATAACTACTCAGGATCTCAATTTATTATTAGTCATAAAATGAAATACATTCTTTTTTTCTTTTTTTTTTTTTTAAGGATCTGCTTTTGCTAAAGCAAAACCTGAAAGTCCTTGGACATCTCTGACCCGCAAAGGAATTGTGAGAGTTGTTTTCTTTCCATTCTTCTACAGGTGGTGGCTACAAGTGACATCGAGAGTCATCTTTTTCTGGCTGCTTGTTCTTTACCTTCTTCAAGGTAAAATTGGATTATAGTATCAGCTTCAACTGAATGCCTTAATTTAACCATTACTACTTCTCTATGCTTTCTTCACTTAGTAGTTAAAACTCCTTCCAGTATATGCTGGAATAGATTGCAAAAGTGTCTTACGATTAGTTCCTCTTTTACAATTATATAAAGGGGACATTTTGAAAATTTAAGCATTTCCTCACAGGTTTTTTTCAGCACTTGTGTTACTTTGGCATATATAATTTAGGTTTCTAGGACTGATTTATTTCAAGACTGAGAGTCACCTAAGAAACCTTTGATTTTCAGGATTAGGATTAGTCCTGTTACTTGTGCTTCTTGATAAGAGCTCTTGGTCTGTGCAGAATGCTGAACCTGCCGTTATGCATCTTGCACAGCCCAGTAGGATGATGTGTGATCAATTTCCAGTTCTTCCATGGGTTATCTTATCACATCAGAGGCAGTAAACTTTAAGCTCATATTTCAGTCATACCTCAGCCATGCTTCTGGATGACTGACAGATCTATTATTGTTCTATATGCTTCTGCTAACTTTTCCTTTGTGCACAAAGGGAGTATGCATCTTAATTTTACTTCCTAGATTAACAGTTGTGCAACGTCATTTTATAACAAACAGAAGGAAATTCTCAGCTTTTAAAAAGAATGATGAATCACGAGTTCCAGTAATAGAAGCCTGTGCTCCTCTTAATTATATGTAATATAAAAGGGGAAAATTAGAGAAGGAAGAATGTAATGTAATGAGTCAGTATCTAACAGTGTGAAAGTCAGTAAGAGAATAAGTGTATTGGAAGCACGTACAACAAAAAACAAATCAGAAGCTTAATGCAAGTTGGGAGCAGTTTAAGCACTCTGAAAAACTAAATGACTGATAAGTTATCTGCTGTAATCCAATCAAAATATGATAATTACCTTTTCATTTTTGCTGTCAGTCCTCACAGTAACAAATTTCTGTATCATTTGGAAATTGTATCTAAAATTAGAAATGGAAGAATAAAAATACAGTACCTCTTGTTTGATGTTAGCAGCTATAGAATTTGTTCCACACTGACGGTGCCCCCAAACTTGAAATACACTGACATTCATGTAAGCTGTCAAAAATTTTCCCTATCCCAAATTCTTAGGTAGGTGCGTAAGAATTATTATTGCAAATGTTAGCCTCTGAGTATACTATGCTAAATAGTAACAGTAAAGGAAATAATTTTTTTCCCTGACTGTAGATTAAAACTCCAGATTTTATTTACACTTGTTTACTTTATAATAAATTATGAGTAGAAAACTATGTGATAAGAGAAACAAAGAAATGTTTCTGTTCAAGGTCATTGAACAGGCTGGTAAGTTAAGGTAGAAGTAAAAATTTTTTTCTTCTGACTCCATATCCATTTAGGTTATACCACTACCTCATTTTCACTTTTAAAATGTTTCTATATTCTAATACGAAAACTGATGTGTGAAATTAGTGTGTATTTTAGTATGAAAAAATACTGTGTATTTTAGTATGAAACAAGAAATGTGAATATTCATAGCAGTTATACATTTATTTTGGTGAGATACATGTATATGTATGTATGCATTTTTAAAATTCTTGGTGACACAACTATTTCAAAGCTTTTAGTACTAAAAAATAAATGGTTTGGTCTTTGAAATGTAGTTGCCTGCTTTGATGCAGCTTTTTGGCTCTACATGAAGTCATTCCATTTGTTTGTTTCACAAAATACAGCGCTGTCATTTAGGAAAATACCAGTCCAGATGTAATAAATAGGTAAAGAAATAATTGAAACTGGTAGGAGAAATTTTGTTTGAAGCCTAAGCTGTTGGCAGGAGCCGTTCTGTGGTAGTCTGAACCACAGTATGTTGGCACATTGTGCAGAAATTTGTGTATTTTCTTCCTGTGTTACTGAAAGGATTGGAGAGGTTGGTAATGTTTTGTTAAATCTCTGTGTAAACTTCATGGTAGGGGCGTGCAGTCTATAGGCTCATGTTTTCTGAAATCTATTGTGAAGTTTGAAATTATTTTGTGGATACGTAGTCCTGAAAATCATTTCAAGTGGATCTGTGGAGCTTGTTGTACTCAGATCAGTATACTTACACAAGTTGCATAGTAGGAGTCAAAGCTGGCTATTTGTTTACACTTTATACCATATGAATCTAACTGTGTGTTTGAGAAACTCAGATGAACTCATTTAGAAAAAGGTGTTGTTACTGACCTAAAGCTTGTGAAAAGCTTTTCTAAGTTGTGGAAGTGATTGGGCTGTTCTAACAGGAGTAAGAAGAGCTTTGTGGGTGTTGGCTGTGTATGAGAAGCAGGTTATAGGGTTATAAGATTAACAAGTAATGATGGGTTGATGGTTGGACTTGATGATCCCAGAGGTCTTTTCCAACCTTAATGATTCTATGTTTCTATGAAGGGGAAGCTGCCACTTTTCCAAGCACAAATATTAGTTGGAATCCTGGTCACTTCAGCTGGACTACCTTGTAATATACATGGTTTGTCTTTGAGCTTTCCTTGTTATTAGAAAATTTATGTACAAGTGTATGGGAAATTTTGTCTTTTGAATGGAATATGGAGTTCAAAATGCTTTCAGCTGGAGTACTAAGAATTTCTCATCACTAGTCTGCATTGAAGTAGATGTTTGATTTCACAGTCGCAAGTTAGCTGAGCTTGGCAGGCACTTCCTGGGGTCACCCAGGCCAACCTCTGCTCAGAGCATCATTAGCTGCCATGGACTGCTCAGGGCGATGTCCAGCATGGTGTTAAGCATCTCCAAAGTGGAGGGATACAGCCTGTCAGGGAAGCCAGCTCCTTGTTTGATGTCTCCTATGCTCACCTGACTTGTTGGATTGTGCTGTGTTGGTTTCAAGTGATACAGGACTAATTGAAACTAGGAGGACTAAATACAGGACTGATTGAAGCATAGCGTTTGTTGCTTGATTTTGTTTATTTTTCCTCCTACTAAATTGTCATCTTAATATGAATTTGCTTCCTGTCATACCTGGCTTTGCAAATGCCTTTCCCTCCACCCTTCATTCTTCTACCTTTTTTTTGAGCAATATTTATAATATCACAAGTGTAAAAGAAGACGTGAGCATGAGGATAAGTCAAGTGTTCAAATTCTGATTACTGTCTTTCATTTTATTGTAATTGTCATTCCATGCTCTGAATTTCAAGCTTGGTTTAAAATGCAGGTAAAGAACTACATGCGACTGTTTCTCATTTTAAGATAAATCATATAATAAGTTGGCCATCCCAGACATTTCAAGTACTGAACTCAACTTCATCTTCCTTCTTTTCCAGTTGCTGCTGTAGTGTTATTCTGTACAGCCCAGAGCCCACATAATATACCTCTGACTGAAGTAATTGGGCCAGTATGGCTCATGTTGCTACTTGGAACTGTACACTGTCAGATTGTTTCAACACGAACCCCTAAGCCTCCTCCCAGCACAGGGGTTAAAAGAAGAAGGTATAGTCTGTATTAAAGTACTTATCATTTAGGTTTGTTGAACTATTCTGAAGAATGTGCATAAAACTGTAGGGATTTACAGTCTCTGCTTCACAAGGGATGAGAAATTGAGGCTCCGTTTTTATCTGAAACCTTAAAATGGGTGCTTGGTTAGTGCTCTAACATTTGTGCATTTACTAATTTGTGCACTGTTTTTTTTTAATACATTAAATCTGATGTTTTTGCCTCAAAAGAGCTTGTGACTGAATACTGATGGGGTGACATATTACTGCAAGTTTTGCTTTAGAACTCTGTGCAGTACTGACCAGCAATCTGTGAGAAATGTGGTAAAGGAGGTTCTGGAAGCATAGACCTGAAAGTCTTCCAGCACTGCAGTGTATATGGTTTGCTACAGTGAATTGTCCCCTTACAGTGGGAAAACCTGCAATAGTGAAATTTTGCAGGTTTTAGCCTCTGAGATGAAATTTATCTTATCTTGTATTTAAGTGTTAAGATGATGAATAACTGTTATAACTTAGTTTTTGTAAATGGAGTTTGTTAAATCAACACGATAAACCTTTAGCAACATGTCTTGAAATTTTGCTTGTTTTTGCATGCCTAAAACTGCTGAACACGTTATAGAAGTAGTAGATTGCATTTATAAAGCTACCTTCCAATTTTAATCTCTTCTGATGAAGGAAATTAAGGAAAGCAGCACATTTGGAAGTACATAGGGAAGGAGATGGCTCTAGTACCACAGATAACACACAGGAGGGAACAGTGCAGAGCTACGGTACAAGCACCTCTTACAGTATTGGCGCTGTCTTCAGAGATATCTGGCATGCCGCTTTCTTTTTATCAGGGTTTGTATTTATTCAAGGCTACATATGTGTGAGATATGCACTATCCCTTTTCCAGTGAAGTAAACATTAATCTGCTGATTAGATAAGAACAAAAAATAAATTGACAAAAAACTTTATAGTAAACTCAGCTCAGTGTTTGAACGTGCATTAACCTCTTCTGTTTTGACTTCTGAAATTGCTGATGAAATAACTGTAGAAATGCAAAGTAACTTTGGCTGATTTTATGATAATTGTAGGACTGTACTTTGTGAGTTATCGGGAATGAACTAGCTTGGTTTCTCAATTTTAATCCAACAGGAAAATGTTACTCTTACATTTTAGTCGATTGTATTACCTGATAATTACATAGAGAGAATGCACATAGATCTCCATCACTGTCATCAAATCACACATTTTTCTGAAAGAGAAACCTTCGGGACTCAAGCATGGCAGTTAATCTGTCAGTGAGCTATGAAGATGCATTTTCTAATGACTGGACAAAGCATTTAAGCTTGTTATATTTCAGAGTGCTATACATCAGCATTTATTAGTAAAGTTGAATACATGCTCATGAGCTGCTACAAAATAAAGAAAAGGGATACTGCAAGTTACTACATTGTTTTGTTCTGCATGCTGCATCTTAAATATTGCAACACTAATGTGTCTGTTGTATTTGTGATTTGTGCTCTTAACCTCTGGTAAAGCTTTACCTCGTGTTATGTTACATTCTGGAAATAAAAATCTGGAAAAGTTTTTAAAATATCTAAGAATGCTGCAGAAGTTAATTTGGTCTTCCTGTGTGTAGTTTAAGCTGGTTTAGCAGACTGTGAGCAATAGCAATAGACACCACAGCTGTTCTTTTGTGTAACTCCACATCTAAATCAGTATTTCTTTCTGGTACATTTTGGAGTGTGATCTTGTAAACTTTTGAGCATTATCTGCTCAGTGAAGATACTGATTTTCAATCAGTATTGTTGGACTGCTGAGGATTGTTGGAAGACTCACTTTCTTCCTTACCTTCTTCACTTCCTTGGGGTGACTGAGAATGCTATAAGCAGCCTTTAGTCACTCTTCAGCTGCAGAGGTTTGTATGTCTGAGAATGAACCACGGCAGCATATCCAGATGAAAAATAACCTTTTTTTTTTTTTTCTCACATCAGTTTTGTCATATAATTTTTCTTTTCCGAAGTCATGCAGATATTTTTGTTTGCAAAGTGGGACTGGGAATGAGGAAGCAGGAATGCAACGTGGAAAGTGTGGGCTAACTGGCTTGAGATTGCGATGTTACTGAAGATGTTCTTGTGAAACTCCAGTGCCAGGAATTTGTCCGTACTCCAGCTGTGGAAATCTTTGACTTCTAAAAAGTTTTGCAGCCCAGATGAGTTAGGAAAGTTTTTTGATAGTAGTTTGATCTGATTGCCCAAAGCCTCAGTACTGTCCTAAATGGTCGTCTTTATAGATTTTGAAAATAAAAACTGTGTTTGTACTCAAGCTGGCACATTGCTGATCTGCAGACAGGAAGAGGCTTGCAATCTGCACCACAGAGTCCATGATAAAGTATCTTGCTGTCGCTTCTTTTATAAGCTTATAATAAAATCTGATCCATGCAAATATATAAAAGCTGCCAAAAGTATTTCAACTGATTTTAGAATCATAGAATGAAATCATAGAACCATAGAATGGTCCAGGTTGAAAAGGACCACTACAATCATCTAGTTTCAACCCCCCTGCTATGTGCAGGGTTGCCAACCACCAGACCAGGCTGCCCAGAGCCACATCCAGCCTGGCCTTGAATGCCTCCAGGGATGGGGCATCCACAGCCTCCTTGGGCAACCTGTTCCTGTGTGTCACCGCCCAATGTGTGGAAAAGCTTCCTCCTTAGAAAAAAAAAAAAAAAAAAAAAAAAAAATACTACTCATTTATTTAGAAATAAAATCAATAATTTTGGAACTAGATAAGGGAAAATTTTATAGCTTTCTACAAAGGAAGTGGAGTAGCAGTTGCTGCTTTTTAAAAAAAAGAATAATTAAAAAATGCCATTTAGTGTTTTTTCTGGAACGTTTGAGGGAGGGTGGAATGAGACTAAAGAAGATAGAGAAGGATGAAAAGTCTCAGTAACTGCCTTTTCTGCTTGTTACTTTGTCCATAGTCTTGCAGATTAATTGCTCCTTTTTGGATTTTCTTCCCTAGCTGGTGAGTCTCCACTGTGTATATGGAGTACCTTATCTTAGGTACGATGTAAATCAACTGTCCCAATTCATACGATGTACATATTAGAGAGAAATTTAATTTGCTGTGTAATCCAAGTTCTCACAGAGCTTCCTGAAAGAGAAGGGCAATGCATGTTCCCCTACAAGAGCAAAAGAGTAGACCAGGTTCTTGATAGTTTTATCAAGTCTGTGTTTAGTGGTTCTGTGGTTCTTTTGTTTTATAAACATAAAGAATAAAATCTGGAAACTTCATTTATAATACTACTACTATTTTATTTTTTTTTTTCCCCCTAGAAGTGTTCTGGGAATTACTAACCACACAAGATTTTATTGCTTTCTGGGTAAAGATTTTCCTTGTTATATATTTTGAAATACAGAAGCCAAAGTGAAACTGCATTAAAGTGATCTCTGTCAGTAAGGTAGAAAGCTGCTATTCCATTTTCGTTCCTTCATCAACAATACTTTCTAATTTAGAGATGCAATCATCCAAACTTCTGCTTTTGAAAGGCTTTTGTTTTTTTGTGGCATTAAGTTTTCTTGCTACTACATCTACTGATTAGATAGTGGCCTTGACTTTTAGACAGTGTTAAGGAAGATGATAGATTGGTATTAGACTTCTCATAGGAATAATAATACTTAAGCATAATTGATAGGTTTGTTATTTAAAAACAAGCCTAATTACTGTGTTTGTTAGATACTATTGAATTATGTCACTGGGGTGTTACTGCATATATGGGAAAGGGTAAATCACATTCTGGTTAGCAGACTTGTCAATACACAGAGTGAATTTAAACAAGCGCGTTCAGGAAGTACTAACAGAGCACGCTCACAGCTGTAAGAAATGAATGGCACATTTGCTTTGAGTTAATAACATTTTAACTTTTTTTTATTGTAAGAATAAAACAATCCTCATTTACATCTGGGGCTTCTGTTTCTTCTGTTGCCAAAGATACTTGATGTTTTAGTTGCAAAACATCGGTTTCCTTTTCTCTCTGTACCTAATAAAATAATTTTCTTTTGGACACTGTTTCTCTTATGATGTTTATAGGAAAGAATAGTGAGTATTAATTAGAAGATTAAAAATAAGCTCACAAACATTTCATCAGATGTTAATATCTTTTTATTTGTTTGTGTTCATCTTAATAAAACTAAAACATGGGTTGAAAAGGGTGAACAGGATTTAGTCTGGAAAAAAAAAAAAGGAATCATTAAATTAATGCTTACATTTGTTTCAAATATAGATCTAAGAAAGCAAAAAACTCAATAGATAAATCCACTGAGACTGATAATGGCTACGTGTCCCTTGATGGGAAAAAGACAGGTAAAAGCAGTGAGGAATGTGCACAGGCCCAGGAGCGTCTCTGTGAGGTGATAAAGCCAGAAGAGTCGGGCTGGAGCACCACAACCATGAGAGAGACCTTCAGCACCCCCAGCCATCACAAGGTAAGTATGCCGTGTTGCTTTCAAAGCAGGATAGTTTGTTTGTCTGGTGATATGTAGGCTGTATTTGTGTGATGCTGTTGATGTATTCTCATTTATGTTATCCTTAAAAGTGTTTTAAATGAAATTAAGCTTAGAGTGCTGTGTTCAAAATCCTGTTCAGTCTTCCAATGTCATTCCTTTTATATGTAGCCTTTCCTTTTTCTTGTCAGAGGCCCCTGGCTGACATCTAAACATTCTTTGCTCTTCATTAATTCAGTGCACAATTTCATATGCTGTCACTTGTATCTTTTTTTCAGTCCAGCTGAACAACACGCTTTACTCTTTATTGCCTCTTTGATGCTCTTGGTGTATGTGGTCCCATCTTTGTGCCAAAATGGAACAAATGGAACCAGCAATTTGTAATTTTGAGTTTATTCTGAGCATTTACCTATGAATCAGGAATCATCTTTCTTTTCTTTTGGTTTGTCCTCGTAGAAGAGGAGGAAAGAACAATTTTCCTCTCAGTAAAATAGACATAGCCTCCTGAGGTGAGAAATAAGGATGAGATGGAAGCAGAATAAATGGTTGTGAAAGAAAGGAGAACTTTTCATTCTGGATTTGTTTATCTCCTAGATGTACTATTTTCATCTTGCAGTTCTACAGAATAGATTTTCCAAAGTATTTTTTCCTGGCTCCATTATCATTTGCCTTCTAATGACTGCCATTACTGCTCACTTACTTGACTTTGGCTCAATGTATAATCATTGATCAATCATTGCAAGGTTGTTTCATGATAATATCAAAGGGAAAGGTTATTCTGCTGGAAGTATACGCATATACATCTTTATAAAGGAAAGGCATTCTGTGGGGGGTTTCATAGCCAACTTATTTAACAATCCCCATGAATATCCATATGATTAAGTCAGAGTGGGTGTGATGAAGTTCATCTCAGGGCAGTAACCTCAGTATTTTGGTCTGCTCAGCAGCAACAGCAGAAACTGTAATTTAGTTACTGTGATTCAGTTGTCTCCATTCATTCCAAGCATTTTGCATTCTTGAAAAATAGTAGAAAAGCCACCACAGACTGTATTCTGCATGTCCCTCATTCTCTATGCAGCTCATCTGTTAAGAAAGTGAGATGAGTTGACACTGAAGCATCTCAGAAGCCAGAGCTCATTATGGAAGAGAAATAGATGCCTGAATCGCAGGGGTAAAGGGATCTTCTGTCATTTCACTGATGACAGTGCAACTCCTGAAGGAAATTTTACGGGGTTCTATGCAGTGGTGTCATAATAAATGGGAGTATACAGAAAGGTTTTGACAGCTGACCAATCTTCTACTGCAGTCTCTTCTTCCTGTTGCTGTCAGGTCTGGTTTCACTTCAGCTTAAATCAGGGAAATAGTGTGATAAATTTATTATCTGGGTCTTCCTTTCACAAACAAACCTTGTAGTGTTTTATAGTTGAAAGAGGTAAATGCTGGATTTGTACCATATGTGTTGATGATTAAGCATGACTCTGCTATCACAAATTTATTTTCTCAGACCTTTTGGATATCTTGCATTTAGGCCTTCAAAATGTGAATGCCAGCGTTCATGAGCTAAATATGATCTGGTTTTTCATTGTCTGAGAAATGTTTATTTTGATACTACAGTTTTATTTCGTAATATCTGCTGTATCATTTCTTACAATTGAAAATGCAATATCTACTTTAACAGGGCATACGTAATATTGCAGAAAGAAATTTGATTGTAATGGTTCAGAATTGGTAAGTATAAGTGTAAGTCTTACTAATACTCTACTTCTTGCACCAGGAGACTCACAGGACTGTGACAAATTTATCAGATGAAGTTTCTAGTGAGGAGGGACCTGAAACTGGATACTCTTTACGCCGCAATGTAGAACGCACTTCTAGTGATGGCACGCTTCGAAACAGGAAATCTCACCATTATAAGAAACACTATCCTTTGGAGGTATCTATTCTTCTCTTGTCTCTTTTATGTAAATTGATTGAAGCTCTAGGCTTCTCGTTGAGTATTTATTTTTTTCTCCTATACTATGTTTTAGGATTATGTTAATTTGAAGCCATGCTAGTGAGGGAGAGGGATTCCTTTTTGTATGACAGAGTTTTAACTTTGAGGTTTTTATTCAGCTGATTTGAGCTTTGTCAAATTTTTCAATTTGTTAAGATCCTTTGATAGATCTTGCATCAGATTTCAGTTAACTCTATTGCTGTCTTTTGACAGGAGGTATCTCTTTTGAAAACTTGATTTGTTACAGAAACACAGTAGTTTGCAATAGTAACATTTTCACTGTACTTAGTGCTGCTGCTTGTCTCCATTTATACTGTATTTTCGATTCACCAACCTTCTTGTGAAGTCATCTGCTAGTTTGCCTGGTTTTTCATTCCTTCATGTTTGTTGAAAGCCATTAAAATATTGTCATAAATCTCAACAAAATTGTGTTATACTGCAACAAAAACACACAAAACCCTGAAATTTTAAGAGATTTATTAACATCAGAGCTAAGAGGAGGGAGGCAGCAATTCCATACTAGTAGAGTCTTTAGTTGTAAGGGTTCAGACACTGAAAGACAGAAGTGGGGGAGGGCTTTTTTTTTTTTCTTTTAATTCTAAAGGATTTCCGCTCTTTTTGCTGATGGTATGCAACTGAGCAGATAAACAAAACTTTGAGGTTTTTGCAGTGTTTTTTCTTTTTAACAACTGTACTTGCCCTCCCACTCCCCCCTTTTTTTTCCCCCCAACTAGGACTATGAGAAAAGAATGTGCAGAGTAATTTTGGTTCTGACAGGAGTGTGCTTGTGGGTGGCTCTAACAGGCAGAGCATCATAAGCAAGCCTTCCACTTGATAGAAATAATGCCTTCTTAGAAGGGTTCATATAATGCTGCTTTCTCTGATAATAATTACGAAGTCTTGAGGTTTATGCTTTGCATAAAAACATTAATTTTCTATAATTTGTTTCTCACAAACTTTGGATTGAAAGATCTAGGAGGCTAATTCATTTTTAACTGTTCGATGTCCTGCGTATGTTTAGTTTAGGCTTTCTGAACAGGGTGATACTTGGAAATGTTTCGTATTGCAGAAAATGTCTCCTGACTGCATGTTAGTGCAGCTGGGCAGATGTGATTGCAGATGATTTTTTTTTTTCCCATCTTAAATGTATTTTCTTTTCCAAAAGGTGTCTCAGAGCTGTAAAATCCTACATTGTTGTCTAGGGAGGACTGTGTGTAGATACCTTCAGAAACTGAAAAAACATGAATTTACTCTGTGTATAGTAATAACTCACACTTTTCCCCTTATCTCTGTGATTGATGCTGTGAAAGAGGAAGCTTTTCTGTGTTGTTAGCAGCTCTTTTCCCTCAACGTGATTACAAAGGAAATGAAACAGTAATTTTGAAAACTGAAAGCTTTCTTTGTATTTAAAAAAAATAAGTATATATATATATATAAAATATAATATATATATATAAGTGAGACAGTGGATGTGCTTTCAGCTTCTGTCCTGTTTTCCCTTATCTTGTTGTTTACTTGTCAGTCACTGTTTGAGGTATAGCTTTTTAATCTGCTTGCTTCATTCAGTTCAAGACTCAGCACCCTGTACTGACCACGTTCTATGAAGAATAAATATTTCAGATAATATCTTTGTTATTGGTATTCTATCATCTCACTAAAAAGAGCTTGGAGCAAATTTTTGCTATTTATTTCTTTACAAAATTGCTTGCATAAAGTGTACAAAGCGAGGTTTCCAGGAAGAACAAGTAACTCTCCTTCAGCTGGTAATGCATTACAAGTCATGTTAAATTAATAGGTCTGCTGCAGTATTTCTTGATTCTGTTTTTCAGTGAAGAAAATTGGGCATAATCTTGAGATAAACTGTAGCAGAAAGAAATGAAATTTGCTCTAAGAAGGAATGGAAATTGGCAGATGATAGTGATGAGTAGGATGGTACTGCATTTTAAGGCCTGTCTTGCAGGAAATTGGTTCATCTAACCATTGAAAGGAGCTTAGGGGTCTGCATTTTCATTCTGAAGAAAACATTAGATTGCATTATGTGTATGCACCGGGGTAGTTAAATCTCCCAAGTGTAATGGTTTTCTATGTTATTATTTAAGTAGTGCACAAAATTTAAAAATAATGAGGCATGCTTGCTTCTCAACTACACTTTCTTTAAAATAATTAGTTGTTTATGCATGACTGTGTAGATCACACATCTACCTAGTACTGGGTGTGGATACTCTCAGTTATTCTTTCTCTCTACACCTGTTTCATGCCTGTCTTCAAAGAAGCTCACACACTGTCTTTGGAAAGGTACGTGAAGCGGAACAGTGGACACTGAGAATCAAATTGGTGTTTTTAGAGATTATTATAGGCAATTAATTTTAGAAATGTACTTCTGGGACATACCAACATTTCTTTTAGAACTAGTAAAATGACATCCACTGGGTTGCTATTGAGTGTCTTGGACCTTGGCTAGCTAGAATTATCCGTCTCTTCTTCCTCTAGGACCTTCTTTTTTCTTGCCCATTTTTTGAAAGAATCCCTCACTGTATGGTGGGAAGTGAGTCTGGCAGTGCAAGTCTGAATCTGCACCTGAAGTAGACACAATCTGCAAATGCCTGTCTGTGGTGTCTCTGTACTTCAGGCTTATTTTTTTTATTCCACATGTTCTCAGTTTCTGTGGATGAAGCTAAAGAGGAAGTCTTTGTCTTCTAAATCCCTTAGTCTTGCTTTACTCCGATTTATCCTTTTGTGAATTTATTTAAAAGCTATACTAACAGGTTGGGGGGACACAGATATGTTAATAACTAGGTAAAGTAGATCAAATCAAACAACATAGGATAGAAAGACAAAGTGGCAGATCAGTTTAAAATACTTAGTGAATTAGGCTTTTCTCACTCTACTTTTCTATACTAATTGGCAGATCAGTGTATATGCCTTTAAGCCTTTTTTGTTTCTTCAATATTTTCACTAAAATAATGAAGCTGTAATGTATTTGAGGGGACTTAATTTATCACTAATTAAATCAGAAGTTGGAGACAGGCCTGATAATTGCTCTAAATTAATGAATTTTAAAAATCTGTAAAACAGTTACTTCTTTCTAATGTGTATGAATTGAGTCTTCATTGTGTGACCCATCCCCCATAAATGGAGGACCACAAACACATAATACTTTCTGATTTGAAATGTAATGAGTGAAACATAAAAAACTGATGTACATGGACTTGCTACATTTGAACTTAACTCTTCTGTTAAGGAAATAGAGTACAAAAACAGCATTAATTCCAATGAATATTTTAATTTCAGGATACACCTAAATCAGGTACTAGCTGCAGTTCTCGGTGTTCAAGCTCCAGGCAGGATTCTGAGAGTGCAAGGCCAGAATCAGAAACGGAAGATGTGTGGGAGGACCTCCTACACTGTGCAGAGTGCCACTCTTCCTGTACTAGTGAGACGGATGTAGAAAGTCCTCAAATGAATCCATGTGTGAAGAAAGAATATAGAGATGACCCATTTCATCAGGTTGGTCGTTTCTGCTGAGTTTGACTTCTACAGCATGTACATCTTCAGTCTTATCAGCTTTGTCATGTGCTCAGGAGGCCTGGGAGAAAGAACTCTCTATTAAATGGAAGTAACAGAGCCAAAGTGATTTGGTAGAATTAAAACAAGGAAAATTGAATTTCTGCTACTTGGTAATTAATTTGTCAGATGAAGAGGATATGCCTGTGTACTGTAATAGCCTGCAGAATATTTTTGTGTTAGGATTCTAGTTCAGGACAAGTACTGATTGAAGTTTCCTGTGGTAGAATCATATATATATATGTCTCAGGGAATATTTTTGTTTGTATATGTGTATATATATGAAATTACACAGCAAGATAACATACATAATATCTGATGTTATGTGTGTATTCTTTATTTTCTGTATACGTTTATAATATCTGTATTCTTTTTCGAGAAAATATTTTTTTTTGTTTTATTTTTACCTTAAAGCTAATCATTTATTTTTCTTAATACTATTCTATAGAAACATCTGGGCAGTAATTTCTGAAAATGTTAGTGTTTGTTGGGCAACGCTTCAGTTGCAGCCTGCCTTGGGTTAATTGGATGGAATCTGTTGTCCGTATTTAATAACTAATGATGATGTGTTAGTCTTCCTTTGATTAAAAAAAAAACATTCAGATGTCAGTGCCAATTATGTTTGTATTACAAGGTTTTTCACTAAATTGCATGCTGCCTGCTGTGAAATATTTTTCTTGTTAAATATGCAGTGTATGTTGGCACTGCTTACATCAGTGCTAAGGAATTTAATAAGAGATGATGTTACTGATAGCTGAGAAAAAGAGTCTCAAAAGATAGGCTTGTTCACTCGTAACTGGAACTGAAAATGGTGGATTTGTTGGTATCCCCCCTCCTTCAAAAAAAAAACAACAAATCAACCAACAAAATCCACCCCCAAAGCAACAGAGACAGCAGTTCGAATTTCTGCACTCTTTGTTTTTAAAATTTATTTTAGTTCTTGCTTGTATTCCATGTTTTTTTGAAGTTTAATATTTTTGTTGGTTTGTTTCATTGTAGATGGTGAAATTTTTTGAATTTCAGCTCCTGGTGTAGATACTCCCTCTAGAGGAAAATAGTGGAAATCTATGTTTCAGAAGGTCTTTCTGCAGCTATAATTTATGTTAACAATATAGGTGTTGTTTTTTTTCCCCTCTAATGGAAAAGAAAGGAAGCAGTTGTCTACTTAGCAGTATAGAAAGATTTGGGGTAAATACTGATAAATCAAGCTCTAACCCCCTCACCACTTTTATTAAATGATACGATAAATATTTGATAATATGCCCCCATCTCAGCCTTTTTATTTGATTCAGACAGTGCTGGTTAACCTGGCAAGGCTGAGATCAATTTTGATCCCCTATAACTAAGAGGAGTGAGACAGGACTGAGGGAAATCAAGAAGTGGCTGCAGCAGCACTTGTTACCTCAGCATTTTCTGTGTCTTTCAGTTCTCACTTAGTTGTTCTCTGATTAGAGTAAATAAATACGTGCATTCATTACTTTAGGCTGAAATTACTTGGCTGCTGGGGCAACATACATTGATTAGAGTCCTAGAGCCACACAGCTGTTTATTGGGAAAGAAGTGAATGACTGAGTATTTAACATACAGTAATGCAGGAGAAGTAAATGCTATGTAACAACATTTGTGTCAGTCTAAGCACTTTTTTTTTTGTCAGTGTATTCCTGACAAAGAAACACTGACACAACAATAGGTTGATATTACTGATGGAATGTATTGATTGTCTTCCTCAGAGTCACTTGCCTTGGATCCATAGTTTGAATCCAGGACTAGAAAAAATAAGTGCAATTGTATGGGAGGGGAATGACTGCAAGAAAGCAGATATGTCTGTGCTTGAAATCAGTGGTATGATAATGAACAGAGTGAGTATTCTTTTTACAGGTATTGTATCTAGGTTCAAAAATAAGTACCGCCTCTACTGTTGCATGACCAACATCTGCCTCTGATATCATGGGCCAACAGAATAAAATAAGAGACGTTACTTTTGGAGTGGTCCTCGTACTTATAGCTCTTGTAGCTATTAGTAATAAGAGTGGTGTGATAATAAAATACATAGCCAGCCTCTGTTTTATTGTTCCAGTGGCATATGCTGTGAATATTTATCTCCTTGATTCTTGTGGACAACTAATATGTGGGGTTAGAAGTACATATATCTGAGTATTTGGATGCTGAAGTTCAGATTAGAAAAGAAAGCTTTTCTGTTTTAGGAAACAAAAGTTTGAAGAGGATGAATGGAATGTCTTCTGATTCCTGGCATTCCTTACGATTGATATCCTACTGTTTTTCATATATTTAGTAGGGTTAAACGTAAAATCTTAGCATAGTTTATGACAATTGTCAGTAATTCTGACAAGTTGATATGATGTTTCCAACTTGTCGGAAAGCACTGCATTCACAAACTTAGTTCAGATCTCTGTACCTGCCTCAGAAACAATGTAGTTTTGGGTGTAGTCACAGTAGAAGTGAACCTTGATAAAGCCATAGCAACACAACAGAATTCCAATCCTACTGCACTGTGAATGCTTTAATTCTTTTAAAAATCATATAACCTAGAAGCAGAATGCAATTAGACTATTAAATTAAGATGGAGCATGTAAACAACAAAGTCTGATTGGTTGAATTTTGCTAATTCGGTGTTGAATTAATTTAACAGCAAGAATATACACTGAAGTGTTTCAGTGTTTTGTTGCTGGTGTTTATTTGTGATTGTTGCTGTGTATTAAATGCTTGTGGAGCATTTTCATTTTATTATAGTAAACTGCAGAGATGCTTGGTTGTAGGTTTCATATCATGTAACACATTTTAAAGTTTTTGTTGCAGTAGTAAAACAGTGACATTAATAACGATTAGATAAGTTCCAACCTTTACAAAGTGCTTTGTTTTCTTTTGCTTTTAGGTGAACAGCTATATACCAGGAATCGGTTATCAGATTTTTGGAAACATCATATCTTTAATCTTGGGCTTAATGCCATTTGTATTTCGACTTTCCCAAGCTAAAGATTTGGAACAGCTAGCTGCACATTCTGCCACTGAACTTTGCATTACAGCATTTGGATCAAATGGAGACATACTGGTTCTCTCAATGGTTGTTATAAGTTTTGTGGTCCGTGTGTCTCTAGTGTGGATTTTCTTTTTCCTGCTGTGTGTAGCAGAGAGAACTTACAAACAGGTACATAAAATAAACTAAGAGGTTTAATCCAAAACAAAACAAATCATTTGTTTTGGGGTTTCATTTTTTTTTTAATTTTATATTTTATTTGGTTTTGTGGATATTTTCATCTTGTGTTCATAGTTGCCCCAAGATTTTGTAAATCAGCAGTTACAGATACTTCAGTGGGATTGCAGATTAGGCGATGAACCAGATACAAAGGACTTAAGTGTCCTTCAAGCTCTGTAGCTAAGCATTTTTCTTGCATAAGAGCATTTTGGAGGTAAAACCTCTTATTTCATAGTTCTGACTCAACTCATTGGCCACTTCTTAGTTATGACCCATTTGTCTTCAGTTTTCCTCAAGGAGAAAGAAATTTGGTAAAAGAGCTCTCTGAATTTCTAGATTGTTCCACCTGTGTGTTTCATTCAAAACATTCTTGAGAATAATTGGAAACACTCTGGTCCAGACCCCAGCCCTGTCTGCTTTTCTGACACTTCTGTCCCAGAGACTTGCAATGTTACTGTCTGATATTCTCTTACTAGCTCCCTAGTATAGTTACTTTCTAGCCTGGAAAAGAAAAAAGATGAATAGTTTTCTTGCATTGTAGCCAAAAGAAGGGATTCAGTACAGTAGAGTAGCTTTGAACTGTTTTAGTTGCCATTTCTGTTGGAAAAAAGTTCTGGGTTAAGCACTCTTTAATGCAAGTGATGGACTTGTTTGAATATCTTCCAAATTTTAATAGATCTGTTTAGTAGATCTGTTTGAAATTTGAAAAGAGGAATTGTACTTGTATTTTGTTTTTCATTAAATTAATGTGACTTTTAAAACTGTTCAGTGTATCTCTTCTTTTTAGGACTCTTATTTCTGTGTTGTAATAAATGTTTTACTTCACCTCGATACATTGTACGTTGATATATTAAGGCTTTTTCTCCATTTTCTTTTTAGCGCCCTCAAAAATGACTTAACAGCTTCATTTTTTTGTTCCCTGCAGAGGCTACTGTTTGCTAAACTTTTTGGTCATCTAACATCTGCCAGAAGGGCAAGAAAATCAGAGGTTCCTCACTTCCGTTTGAAGAAAGTACAGAATATAAAAATGTGGCTTTCTCTCAGGTCCTATCTAAAGGTAAAGTAACGAAAATTTTTGCTACCACTTAAATAGAAACAGTCCCATGTGCTGTTGGTGAAAAGTAGGTATTTGAGTCTGAGTTGTCCTCTGTGTGCACTTACTGGTGCATGTGTGCCCAATCCACTTTATTTTGCCAACTCCCGGCCAGCAGCATCAGCAGGCAGCCAGATGGTGAGAGTGTTTTTCACCTTGGTAAGAGATATGTGTTCAGAGTAGGAGTCTTCTGTTAAGTGATTAGAGCAAAGATGTGTCTCAGGTGAGTATAGTGGGTAAATCATCACTTGTGGTAAAACAGACAATAAATCACTCCACCAGTTAGTGTCATTAACATACAAGAATTTATGAAGCAAGGCAGCTTGTGTGCATATTTATGCTGTGAGTGCATACATACCACACGAAGCTAGAAATTGTGCCCACGACTTGTAAGACATTCTGATCTCTTTGCTGTTTGTTCAACTGAAATAATGAGATGTCTGAAGTGATAGCCCTCTAATGCTCTTTTCATCCCAGAGCATTTTGATGATCCTAGCTCATTTTTTGAGTTTGCAAGTTTTTTTTTCCATTTTTCTCTCTGCATTAGGTAATGAAACTTTGGAGCCTACAGCATGGCAGGCTTTTTTCTGTCTAGTCTGTAATGTGTTGCTGTGTGGGAGGAAAGAAGGATAACAGCATTTGTGCAGTAGAATGTAGCTCTCATGCTTTAAAAGCTATATATGTTGACATTGATGTGGAGACTGTCTTGCCTTCTTTCCTCACAACTGTCACCTATGTATTCCACCTCTTCATATGCTGCAAGAAACTTCTCTATAATTCTGTTGTTGCAAACAGAAGCCCAGTCACACAGTGGTCAGAAGTAGGTGCAGAAGAAACTGAAAAATAACCAGTGAAGGACAGTCATTTTCACCTCTGTCTGCTGATATATGTGCTTCACTGGGCAGCTCCATAAGGTCTGCACATGCATAAGTAAAGGAGTGGAGACAAGCAACTAAGGAACTTAAGCTTCTCACAGTGGTGCTACTGGCAGATACTGGCATAGCATTTGTCCGAATTACACTTGCATGTTACCTGGTTGTGTGTCCATTTGTAAGTAAATGAATTGAAGTTTGTGCACATCTTGAGTTTCACGCAGGCAAAATACAGTGTGTATAAGAGCATGTACTCCTGCATATCAACTTGTATTTGATTTTTTTTCCCAGTAACTAACCTTCTATCTCTTTCTCCAAGTTCCAAGATTATACCTTGCATATATGCACCTCCCACTTTTCTCCAAACACACTGCTAATTACATAAATATGAGAACAAAGTTGTGAAATAGATGCGTATTGTGACTTGGATGTGTTTCATTGCAGCAGAGGGTACTTAATTCTTCAATTAGAAAGAACATGGAAAATGTTCAGTGGATGGAAACATTTTGTTATACCAGTAAGCAATTAAGAATAAAAAAATACTGGATACGGTGACATTGAATCTTTCATCACAGTGTATTTGTTTCCCAAGTTTTCCTTCTTGTTCTCTTGGAATTGTCACATGAGAGAATTGTACCTCGATGGGAGAGTGATGTGCAACTATGATTTTTATATGTTAGAAAGATGCAAGTAATGAAAACAAATTGCTATGTGAAATTATATCTTGATATTCCCTTGCAATCTGATGTCCAAAATGTTGTTAGCACTGGTTTGATACTGGGAATGAAAGCCCAGTGCTGTATTGAATTCGCTGCTTCTCATCATGAATGAGCTGACTAAACAAGTGGTGTATATATTCTTTTATCATAGCTGTCCTTAATTGTCTGCATCTGAATTATCTCAAATGCCTTTGGTATTCGGTAGGAGCTGTATTTTTAATTCCTTTATGTTGTGTGAAACTCAGATTACCAAATTGCAAGCTATGAGAAAACTATGTTCAAAGAGTAAATATAACTGGATGCACTGAACGTCAGTGCTGGTCAGGTGGATTTTCACTCACGTATGCATCTCTGTTATTTTCAGCGTCGAGGTCCTCAGCGCTCAGTTGATGTAATAGTTTCATCTGCCTTCCTCCTGACTATCTCAGTTGTATTTATCTGTTGTGCACAGGTGAGGAAATCATGCATGACTTCAATAGTTTTTAAAATAATAGACTGCCTTTTGTGTGATGGTTCCTATTAAGATAAGAGACCCAATGAAAAATCAGTAGTGGCTATTAGAGCTTTTCAGAAGGTTAAGCTACATTCAATGTTTTTATTTATTTACTTTAGAATATTATCACTATGCCACTCTGTAATAGCCAAAGAAACTCACAGTAATTACTGGCATGGTGTTATTACAGTTTTGTTTCTTATCTGTCCTCTTTCATTGTTCATTTTGTAATTGAAACAAAAGTTTTTTCTAATCTATTGCATCAAGATGTGCTTCATAAAGATATAACAACAATTATAATTTGAGGATGCTGATGAATTTGTTGGCGGTATTAGCCTGCCCTCTAGTGGAATATCTTTTTGGAAGCACATCTATGCTTAAATCAGATTTCTTGTTAATAAGGTGTCTGTGCTCGACCTTCTGTTTCACCGTACAGGTAAGCTTCTGAATGACTTCTGGTTGTATTTTCCACTTCCTTCCTTAGTTAATGTTAATGTGTTTTCACAGTAGTGAACTATAAATACATTAATAAGGATGTAATTCAGCAATCACACTACTTGAATCAAATTTTCTATGTAATTCAGTATATTTGAAGGCATATTTTGTTTTTCATCCCACACGGTGTCTTTGAAATTGCAAAAAAGAGTTTAAAATTGTCATAGAACGTAATACATTTTTCTGTTACTTTAGAAATATGAAAAACGTTTAAATTCTGATTGAACTTTGAATTCACTTTCTTTCAACTTTTTCACTTTTCAACCTTTTCTCAATCCTAATATCTTTGACAGAATTTTGATTTTAAATTATGATTAAAGATATTTGTTGCCTGAAAACAACCTTATACTTATTACTGGGAAATTATTTTTTGGTGTTGGGAAGATACATAATTCTTTTCTTACATTGCAATATAAATATTAATCTGGACTCAATTTTTCCCTTTTGCTTACAGCTGCTTCACATGCATGAGATCTTCCTTGATTGTCACTACAATTGGGAACTAGTAATTTGGTGCATTTCACTAACACTTTTTCTATTGAGATTTGTTACTCTTGGATCTGAAACCAGTAAAAAATACAGCAATACCTCAATATTACTTACTGAGCAGGTGAGAATTTGTGCAGATATACGTTTTTCTATCTAAGTATAGATCATTTATCTATTAGCTCTTAGGCATGCATTCTAGATGACTTAAAATGGTTTGAATTTAATAGTTAATTGTGGTGTAGGGAAACAAGTTATTCAAGATTCTTACAACCTGAAGTTCTGTTTCTGTAGATACTGAAAGAAATGCAAAGAGCAAGGCAAATGAGAGACAGAAAAACTCTAGATTTTATTTTGCTTTCATAGGTTTTTAAACTGCACTCTTTCTGAGAGTCAGCCCTTGAACATTTTAGCCAGTTCAAAAGCTGAAGTTAAAAGCAACAGTCTAAGTCCCCTGAACTTTAAATAAATAAAAGTTTAACAAGTGTTATCACTTAACTTTGTACTTGAATCCAGCTTATCCTATTATAATTCATTTCCCTGAAATAAAAAGGAGAATATAATTCAATATGAGACCCTTTCTGAGAAAATATAATGGATATACAGAACTCTTGGTAAAACTCATTTTGGAGTGGTTACGTGTACAAGTTCAATAGCATAATGTATTTGCTTTCATCTTATGCCAGGTTCATAAATGTCTGATATTTTGGCCTTTCATGGGTCTAAGCCCATACTTTGTCTGACAGACAGTGATCTATAAAAGTGTATCTGAACTGATATCCTTGAAAATCGGACGGTGATTTGATGTGTATGAAAAAGAGAATGAAGTTTCAGAACAATCACAATAAAAACAAAACAAAACAACCCAAAGAAATGTTAGCCCTCAGATTCAAACATATGAAGTGAAGTTGTGAATTCTTTTTTCCGTCAGCCAAGTTCCAAGCTCTTCAGTGTACTTTACATTCAACCTATGACTTTAACGAATTGGAGTTGTGACTGGAAACTAAAAGATTCATCATTTTTAACCAGGGCATTTTAGATTGTATGCTGCTTGTGAAAGTGTTTTTAATTGCTCTTGTAGATTAAGTTTATTTGTGGCATTCTTTGCTAAGAAAAACACAAATTGTGTTCTGATCAGGTTATCTTCTTGCCACTTTCAAGCCTCAGAATAGGTATGTAGGTGTGTGTAGATATATACACATTCAAAATCCCCTTATTTTTCAAAGGATGCAATTGAACATGGATGTTTTTGATAAATTAGTGAAATCATAGTAAACATTAAAACAGATTTGTAACCCTCCTAGGGTTTGTTTTCTACCTTTTTTTTTTTTCTTTTTTTTTTTTTAATAATTTCTATTCTTAGTTTATTCCTGTTTTTTAAATGCTTGAATTGCTGAAAAATGTGATGTCATATTCAAGGTCTGATATCCCTTTGTCTCTAAAAACATAATTTACTTTGGAATGAAATAGATTGGGAGCTTAATTTGCCTTGCAATGTATTAGTGATCATTTTGATTTTAACTTAATTGTACAAGCTTACAGTGAACTTGCCAGGGAGACACAATAATATTCAGTTATTCTTGCTTACATGATGAGGTCCTTTCTTCAGTAACCACTTTACAACAAACCCCTGTAACAACGCTTCCTTTCTGCAGCTTTGTTGCTATAGCTTGGTAGAAGTTTGTCGTTTGAAGGACTGCTTGAACATAATGCTGTTTGTTTTTTTTTTAATGTATTGTCAATGGCTGTCATACTGAAATGAAAAGTCAGATTTTTTTTTATTATTTTTTTGTTTTGCAATTAAATAAAAACCAAAACACTGAACTTTGCCAGGTCCAGCATGTATATCAGACCAATTGAGAATGAAAGCAGGAGTTTCAGGATTTCCAAGGGAGAACTAGTATTCATAACTAACTTTCTCAGAAGCAGTGTTCTAAAGAAGTCTGGATTCCAGAAGCATCGAAATGATTGATACACTGTTCTTCTACAGCAACAGAGAGTTTAATTCAATAATAATTCATATTTTTCAAGGCACTAGGAGGATTTTCTGCATTGAAGGTGTTTGTGAAGTATTCAGTGACACAAATCTTTTTGAAAGAAATTATACTTCAGCAGAATTATGTTCTATCATTTCAGTCAATGCAAGAATTTCTGGGAATGTTAAGCCTCTAAGGTGTGCACACTAAAGAATTACATCTGAAAATGAATTGGCAAACCTCAAACAATTATCAAAAAAAGAAAGAAAATATGCAGACATTGCATAGGTGGTGCTTTTTGTCTGATTTGTAGATGACATTAAACTTTAAAATTGTTCCTGTATCACAAAACATTGTCTTTTCCTACAGAACTGGGGCAGTATTTGTCCTTAAAAATTAAGAACAAAGCAAAGAAAATCCTGTGCTTGCAGAAATGTCATTGCTGTTCTATCATGTATACTGAATAATCAGTATTTAGTTTATTATATATTTAATAAACTATATTTAGTTTATTATTAAATGCTTTCAAATGAATTCCTTTAGATTCTGCATACGTGTTGATATTTGTGTTCTGTTTAAATCAGATAAATCTGTACTTGAAAATGGAGAAAAAGCCTAATAAGAAGGAGGAACTGACACTAGTGAACAACGTTTTAAAACTTGCCACTAAGTTATTGAAGGTAAGAATTACAACAGATTTACTGTATTATTTGTAACTTAGAAGCAGAATGGACGACTTCATGAATCATTTGTGTTATTTCTGCAGTGTCCTTTGGTTTAAATCTGCTCTGTAACTGTTGCAGTGATGCTACTTGTTCATACTTCTTCAGTCTCTTATGTTGCTATTGTTGTGAATTAAAAACAATTATTACTTGCAGTAAGTTCTGTTCTTTAATGTAGAGTGAGAGAAGATGCTATAGGATGTACAGGATGAGGAACCCTCATGAAATGATGCAATTTGGTTTTGAAACTCGGTGTCTATTTCTAGTAATAAGCTACTAAATTATTTGTATTCTGCCTCAAAAATAATTCCTTTTAAAACTTGATACTGATTAGCATTTCAAACTACAACTTGATTATACTCAATACTGTCTTTACTTACTGTCACAGAATCACTTCTGCTGTTATGTGCAAGTTTTAAATTAAATTTGTCTAGCTTCCTCTTTCAGTATTCAGATCTTGTCATGCATTCTGCTGTTACAGTGAAGATCTTAAAATGCGGCCACTGATTCATTTATTCTTGGGTTAAGAGGGAATGTAACAACTGCATTTTGATTTCACCTTCAGGGAATCAACTCTTTCATTTAGTCAAAGATAGCGTGGCGATGTGAAAGAGTTCTTCAGAAATGATTTGCAAATGTAAAGGTCTTTTCTTCCCTTTAAATTCTTTTCAAAGCTGTGCTACGAGCACGTCCTGCCATGTTGAGTGTAGCACAGTTGATGCTTATTCCACATGTAGAGGATAGAGAGAATGGTTGGATTATCATTCAGTAAATCTAAGGCAAAGATTTCAGTATATGTACCTTTGCTCTGCAGTCAAAATAATTCAAGAACATTAAGATTTTTTTCTTTTTTAATTTTATTACTTATTTATGCGTATAGTGGTACTTTAAGACCTTGCTGCTTGGTTCTTCCACACACTGAACTCCAACCACTTACCCCTTTGATTCCCATGTAGTTAGCTAATAGCTGAAATGATGGAATGTTTCCTCCAGTCAGCTAACTCCCCACCACCTCAACTTCAACAGTGTTTGTGGTTCCTTTTGTCTCAAAAAAGCACGTGGAACTTCTCATGTGAGAACTGACTGAGTAGCCTGGGACTCGAGATTGACAGAGCAATTATCTAAGTTGAGAGCTGTGGACCAGAGTCATGGAGTGCTTGGATGAGTCAAATATTGAGGATATCTCTATAGTGAGGGACCATAGAGCTGTTTTTCAAGAGCTGTTTTTGGAACAAGCAGAAAGAAGGAGGCTTGTAGAGGTATTTTGTCAAAAATGCTGTGGATGCAGAAAGATTATGTGAATTCAAGGGGGTCTGGACAAGTAGACAAAATGCATCACGTTTGGATATCTGATGAGCTGAAATGTTGGTGTTCTATGAGAAAACAGGGTGAAAAGTAGTTGACAGGATGCTGAATTCTTGGTGCTCCAGTGTTTTCCCTGCAATTCATGCTGTTTTCAGCATTTTCATGTTCTACTCTTTTCACGTTTTACTCTTTACAGAAATGTGTCAGCATCATGATCTGTCCAACAGAGGGGTGGATTTCATGACACAAATCCTACACCACCCCTTAGTTTCTATGAGAATGTGCCCAAAAGTGAGATGGGATTTCCAAATCTCCCAAACGGGAGCATTAGATGAATCCTTAGTTAGTGATCAACAGAATTATTTCATGTTCAGCAGTTAAGTGGACTGGATTGCTAAGAGCTTTTATTGACAATTAAATAATAATAATTAATTATATAATATTGACTATGCTTACTTTTTTATTTTACTCCCAAATGTGAAACCACAAGCTGGAAGTGTTTCCTTAAAGAGAAATTCTCTGCTGCTCTCCTTGGAATCTTGCTTTTTGTATTTGCAGCAAAGTTTAATACCACACTGCATTTGAATGGGATGGTTGTTCATTCTCATTTCACCTTGTTACGGAGAAGATTCAGAGCTGTGATATGCTTTTTTATTAAAATAGGAGTGATAAAACCTTGTTCAAGACCCAGGATGTAATGCAGGAGAAAGATTAAGAATTGAAAGCGCTGATGGTTGTTATACTTCATGTAATCCATTAGTATATTTAAAACATATTTTCTTCTTTCTCACGTATTTCAAGGCCAGGAAAGTTTGGATGACTTTGATCACTCACTAAGAATTGCAAAACTGGTGAAAAAAGGTCTTTGTTCAAGTTCGTTACAGATTAATTTTGGCTAATGTTTTGATCATTCTAATGAAAGTGTAAAACATTTGCAGTTAAATGATCATTAGTATTTTTTTAAATCCTTTATGTTCATTTTCTATCTATGTTCATTACTGGTTACTCTCTAAATTAATAGAGAAGAAAGGGAATTGTATTAGGATAGACATTGTCATTTTTCATAGTAGTGAAGTAGTCTTGTGCCACTATGGAATATCTTTCTTTCCTTTTGCCTATCTATTAATTTCTTCAGTTAAACACTGAAGGTGATTTTTAGGAAACTGAGGAATTGTAAAAGGCTGGCAGACGAAGTAGCTCTCTGTTTCCTGGCTCTACAAGCAAACTGACAGATGTTCTACATGGGTAGCCTCTAAATTTTTGAAGGGTTATTCAGTTGCTATCGATCGACAGTCAGTGAACACAATAGCTTTTCAATTTTCTTTCATGTTTTCATAAGCAGAAGAACAGGGAAATGCTTTACTCCACTGTTAATTGGAGACTGCCTGAACTATCTAATAACAATCAGTATGTGCATGAACACAAATAAGGTGTACAATTCAGTGCAGTTTTTTATGCCAATTTGGCTGTTTTACTGAGACAGTAGAAATCACTGGCATGAATTCTTCCATGTATAGTGCATGTGACATTGGTGAGTCAGTGTGGAGTCCACAACATATTATTATTTTTCATAACAAAAATATGAAAATATGGGTTGTTAATTTGAATGTTGCTTGTTAACATGTAATGATGCTACCTAAATAGACATGAGTCAGTCATATCATTAATGGCATGACAGTCTACAAATAAATGATAGCTTATAAAGTACCCAGAGAAATCTGACAATAAAAACATGCTGCATAAAGCAGAATTTCTTGTAGCCTGCTCATTATGACTGAAACATTATGACTGTTTTCTCAGAGTTCAGTATATTTTGATGTTTTAAAGTAAATAATGGCAAGAGAATAAGTAGTTTGAAATGGAGGAAATACTCGTTTGGATACTTAAAACAAAAACCAAACTGTGTAATTTCTGCTTTTTAAATGATATAATTGTTTCATGTTATTAGGAACTGGACAGTCCATTTAGGTTATATGGGCTTACAATGAATCCACTCCTTTATAATATCACCCAAGTTGTCATCCTGTCTGCTGTCTCTGGTGTCATCAGTGACCTGCTTGGATTTAATCTAAAGGTAACTATTTCCCAGCCATTTTTTTTCTATTTATTATGGTGCTAAGAATGTTATGATAATTGGATCTTATGTTGTAAAATAATTAACTCTTATCTGTGTGAGCTAGCAGATTTATTATTTGAAAATGGTTATGAAATTGAAGCTGTATCATAAAAATAGCGATGCCCTCCTAAAATTTTCTGCAGTTTTGTGGTGTTTTGACTTTATTTAGGACACATAATCACTAAGAATTCCTAGACATGAATAAAGAGATGCTTACATGGCCAGGTAGAAGACCTTTTTTTACTTCTTGTATTCCAAATCTGATTTCTCTCTCGAGTTCCCCATTGTTTTTGTATCTTTGTCTTGTATTGCAGTGAAGTACTACAGTAGATGCAGTATTACTGTGTCTAATGTTACAGTCTTGCTTTTATGGCTTGAGAACTGTCTTATTAGGTCATACTTTCTGAACCTCTTTGAACTCTATAAACTCTGGAAATTATTCCAAGATTCAGGGTATGGGGCACCTTAATTTCCACAAACTTGTAGCATAAAGCCTTCAATTACCCACTGAGTTTGCTTACATCTACTCTTTTTCATATTACAAGTAAATGAATGTAAAATGTATCTTTTGTATTAAATTTTGCATGCAGCTCATGTGATAAGAAACAGACATGGTATTGCAACTTTGCTAAATAGAAACTGAAGTGGAAATACTGCTGATTTAACATTTTTCTAACTTTTTCAGCTCTGGAAGATCAAATCTTGATAATATGCTAAGAAGATGAGATAACAGTGTTAAAGAAGAGCTCATTCATTGACAAAACTGCCTCAAAGCAGCCACTGAATCTGTATTTCAGAAGCTACAACCTCTTAAAGGATGTTGTTTGGAAAACTGAAGTGTTTACATCTGACTGTCTTGTGCAATCTTAGTATTTATTTCATCTTCTCACTATTTTATTTTCATTTTAGTTGACATTTTTATTTTCAAAAATATTTGTTTAGATTTGGAAAGGATCAAAGTTGAGAAGGTCAAAAACTGAGTGTCTGACAACTTGAAATCCTACCAACTGAATACACTATATTACTGTATTTGTTGTTAAAGCTGAAGCCAATGTTGAACATTTTTAGTTGTGGTAGTGCTGTATGGAAGTCATTTGAGTTTTGATTAAGTGTGGTAACATGGCTTGGGATTTTTTATTTGCACCGATCGTTTATGAGGACAACAGAACATCAATAGATGTTTGGTTGCAATAAAGAGGGCATAAAAAATAAAGTACTGACAATACAGTATGACAGATAGCAGAAATATTTTATATTACTATTAGAAACAAGCGGGAGTTTTTAATATTTTGAATAATTCCAGGATCGAAACTGATTTAGGCTGCAGTTTAAATATCCTGGGATAGTAATAAGGTATTACGTAACAGGTCAACAAGTGCTCTTTGTTAACACTTTTATTAGAGCAATAATTGTAAATGGTTATCATACTGTATAATATTTTGATAAAATTAAATATTGTATTTATTTGAAATACTGGGCTGTTCTGCGCAGCTCTGACTGTGCATGCTCAATATCTGCACTTTTTATTGTTACTTTTAATGAGAAACTTTATATATATACATATAAATGTATATTAATTGGAATATATTATGGTGAACGATGGAGCAGTATATATTATATGTTAAAGCTAAATATTTAAATAGGCAAAAGACATACTGGTGGAAGGAAAGCTATAAATGACTGAGCGTAAGATAGATGCTCTCCTGATGTACACTATAGTATATGCCATTCATACCACATGGAAGTTTAAGAACAGCTAAAATAGCAAACGAGTTCTTCTGGTGGACAACAGAATGAATGAAGCCTCATATTCTCATAGTTGTGTCTTCAGATTAATCTCCTTTGCCTTCCGCCTGCCCAGCATGGGGTATTCCCTCATGCTTTCCCAGTGAGTGTGAGCCTCTCCCCTACCTTCTGACACTGCCTCTCACATGGACTGCTCAGACTGACTCGTTGTGAATGTTCACCTCATACAATTAATTTGTAAGTGGAAATTTTGTTTCAAGTAACTTACATTAGGAGAATGAATGTCACCAGGCTCAAGTGTTCTTGTATTTCTTGTTTCTAAAATAACGGCTTCATACTGAAAAATGATGAGTAATTATAAGAGGTGGGGCATTACACTATATTTGCTGATCTTCAGAACCTTTAAGCATTTACAGTAATGCATCTTAAACTTCTGTGGTATAAAACTATTTTTATATATAAAGCAACACAAACAAGCATTTTGTATTTTATTTGCCTCTGTACTAATGTTTATTAATGACCGAAGTGCATTCTGGTTTTTGAAAGAATGTATTACTGGAGCTTTAAGAACATAGTATCTTTAATTTCTCATGTGGAAACTTCAGCTGCATCTGATCTGTTTCTTCTTTTTCTGTTGTCTGATGCTGGGATTGTTTTAAAAAATTAAGTACATTTTATATACAGGTTTTTCCAAATTATGGTACAGACCTACACAGAACTTAATTTTGCACAAAATATGTTTTAAGAAAAAAGTGCAGCAGGAGTTCTCTAGGGGATAGAAGATGAGGCTGTTGCTTTTACAGCTTGTCACTATTTCAAAGCCACTCTTCAATTTAGAATGGAATTATTTGAAAAAAAAATCTTGAACAGTGAATATACTGCTTTCAGTACCTAAAGGAAAAAAAAAGAAGGTGGGAATGTGTTGCAGTTTCGGTTGAATGGGAAATTAGTTTAACCACATATACCTCAGCAACTATCACTGTGCTGGATTGTTGCACTAACAATGGTTATTTGGGAAGAATAAAATATGTGTGAAATGAAATTAAAAATAATAAAAACCTTTTATTTGCTACCATTAGATATATTCATTATCTTAAAAATGGGAGAGGTTTATCATATCCCTCGATATGGAAAATCCAGTATGAAAATGGAGGCAAGTAGAAATATGGCAGATCTTGCATGTTAATGGTTACTTTTGCCACGTGTTTTGTAACTGCGAGTGTGATCAGGCGTGGAATAAAGCTTTCTATGGTTGATGGTGAAAAAGGAGAAAAAAAGTGCAGCGAGCTGTATCTTTTAGTAATAACCAGCACATTTTGAGTCTGCCTGTTTTGATTTAAGTCCATGCTTACGAATATGCGTTGTTTGGTTTAAAACACTTGGGAGGGAAACGTTGCACATGGAGTGCAAGTGGTGGCTGTCAAAATTGAACTTTATTGCAAGAGCAGAAGCTTTCCAACACATGTTAGTTATACAAAGTAAATTTTTAATAGGACTGGAGATGCAGGTTCCAAATAAACATTTCCATCTGAAAAATACTGCAACAGATTCAGCCCTATTTCACAGTTGTTTAAGGGATTAATTTTAATCCCCATTTTGACTGTTTAATGTAATATAATATGTATATTTTTTTCTTTCCAGAAGCTTATTCTTTGGACATGTTCCACTTGTGGCATCTCCCTGGCCACTGAGAATTTGGCACCAGATTACACCATGCTCTTGTGTTCGTTTGCTCACTTTCTAAATTTGCTTCAAACGTAGGTGGTTTACAAATAAAATTTTCTTTTGAGGGTAATGAAGGACAGTGTTATACAGTAAGAAGTTAACATCTTCTGAGAGTCATTCTTTTAAACATTCATCTCTAGATGGCACCTTAATGTGACAGAGTTCTTGTGTATGTGTTAAAAATATTGCCAGGAAGTATCTTAGACATAATGCATGTTTACTTAGTACCTTCCAAAATGCTCATGGAACTTGAAGAGGATAGAATATGACTGATGCGTCACTGTTTACTGGCTTATTTCAAGTTGTGTTCTATTTTTATGAGTTCTGACTTCCTTAAAGCTGTCTCCTTCAATAGAAAATTCTGTGTGGAATCCAAGCATCTATCAGTGTTCAGGCAGGAGTGTGACAGGAGACGTTGACACACCAGAAGGCTGTGCTGGCCAGGTCTCACTGAATGGCAGCCTAGAGAGCTGGGGTGGAGAGGAACTTCAGCAAGGGTCAGTGCAGAGTCCTGTGCCTGGGAAAGAGTAATTGCATGCATGAGTTCGGGTTAGGGGATGGCCTGCTGGAGGGGAGCTCTGCAGAGAAGGACACGAGTGTCCTAGTGGACAACAAGTTGGCCATGAGCCAGCAGTGTGACCTTGTCACCAAGAAGGCCAGTGGGATCCTGGGGTGCATTTAAAAAGAGCATGGCCAGCAGGTCAAGGGAGGTGATCCTCCCCCTCTGCTCTACCCTGGTGAGGCCACATCTGGAGTACTGTGTCCTGCTTTGGGCTCCTCTGGTAAAATAAATAAATAAAAATAAAAGACAGGGATCTCTCAGAGTTCAGCAGAAGGCCACAAAGATGACTGGGAGCCTGGAGCATCTCCTGTATGAGGGAAGATTGAGAGACCTGGAACCGCTCAACCTGGAGAAGGCTGAGGGGGATCTCCTTAATGTTTATATAAATATCTAAAGGGTGGGAGTTGAGTGGATGGGGCCAGGCTATTTTCAGTGGTGCTCAGTGATAGAAGGAGCAATGGGCACTAACTGGAATGCAGAAAGTCCCATATGAACATGAGTAAAGAGCTGTGTTCTGCAACCAGTCTCAGTGTTGGTCAGCTGTCCCAGCAGTCATTTGTCCTGTTTGGTTATTTTGAACCCTGTGAATATTGAGAGTTGAGAAGCTGAGGAGCAGAAAAGAGATCTGGCTGGCAGCAAGTTGAGTCTGAGGAAGCAGCCAAAGTGGTCAACCGTACCCTGTGGTGCAGCAGGCCCAGCACTGCCAGCAGGCGAGGGGAGGGCTTGTCTGCTCTGCTCTGTGCTGTGCAGCCTCACCTCCTGCGCTGGGTGCAGTGTGGGTGCCACAACATCGGAGGGGCATAAAGCTATTAGCGTCCAAAGGAGGGACATGAAAGTGGGAAGGCTGAGCTGAGGCCTGATGGCGGCTGCAGCTCCTCACAGGGAGTGGAGGGCAGCGCTGAGCTCTGCTCTGTGTGAAGCGACAGGGCCCGAGGGAACGGCATGGAGCTGTGTCAGGGGAGGGGCGGGAGAAGGGCTCAGGGAAAGGGTCTGCACCACAGGGCGGTGGGCACGGAACAGGCTGCACAGGGCCTTAGTTTAGCAGTTGTTTCAAACAGCTCCTGCCTGCTGTGCATAATCTTATTGTTAATGAATTTTATCAGGGATTAGGTGGCTGCCTCCTGGCAATACCACAATCCAAACTCAAGTCTCTTGGCGTATGCTTGTGAATTAAATGGCATATTTTGCTTTTGCTCTATTTCATACCCACGAATGGATGGGAGTTGAATTACTTGGCTAATTGAAAAATACAGTTAAACAAATGGAACTTCAGCGGTGGCTTGGCAGTGAAGCAGTGAGGATGTGAGCATGTGCAGAATGAGCCATTTTACTTGGTCACGTCAAGGATCGTGCTTCATTAAACCATCTCAGCAGTAGTTCTAATGGGGACCAAGGCTGAGTACAGCAGTCAGGGGTAGGAGATTTCCCATTAAGGAAGTCACCATCCAACAGCTCTGCATGTCCCTCTCAGCATACCCATGGCTGGGCTCCCAGGTAAAGAATGTTCTGTGTAGGACTCATTGACCTGAATTCCAGGGATGTTGAATTGATCCAAGGCTCCCTTTGTATTCAGCAAGGACGCTTACCTTTAGAATGGAATTCATACAGTTGATCCCTGATGTCAGTTCTAGTGATCTTCTGGGGGTCCTTCCCTCTTGATTGTAAAGGAAATGATGTGGGTAATTTGGATTCAGAAGTGAAATTTTAAGACATCTAAATGAGGGCAGATTAATCCTACCTTTACATTTTGTTCAGTAGTGCAGCCTTCGGCGTCCACAGCTGTGTAATTGGTTCAGCAACCACAAAAATTGAAGACAACCTTTATTATTATTATTATTATTTTCTCTTTTGCTTACTCCTAGAAATGAAGATTTCACATACAAGTTCTGCATCACGCACTGGTGCTCAGGAAATACCCTGAGCTGGGTATTGCCTTTGGTGAGCTGCCCATCTCCATGCAGCTCCATGCAGCCACATACAATGCTAGAATAGCACGTGGATGTAAACGAGGGTGAAAATGCAATGTTACAAAGGTCTACAACCTGCCCAGAAACACACCCTCACAGTTTGTGCAGGGAGGACTCTGTGGTGTGTGTTCCCCTAGCACCTGGAATCTGATTACCTACCTCTAAAGGAGTAGAGATGACAGAGATGAGACTTTCCCAACACCTCTCCTGTCTTATCTTCAGGCTGCAGTTTTACAGCTGAGTCACAAATTCTCCTAGCAAGCCTCTCACTAGCTGGCCAAGTGGCATTTGCTGGGCAGATAACAATAATGCAAAAAAATAAAAAATAAAAAAAAAATCCAGCAAGGCTTCTGGTTCCAGTCATTTGTAAACCCATACTGTGAAGTTATTCTTCTAAGTGTATCAGGGAGCTATTTGTTCATCTGACCAATATCGGTGGGAGAAACAGTCCCACTGTGACACCCACTGTGACACCACGGGCTGGTGCTTGAGTTCCATGCCGGTAACAGGCTGTGACCACGTCTGTGCCTTGTTTTGCTGCTCATGGACCTGGCTTCAGCAGTGTTGTCCTCCTCCGAGTGCAGCTGCACGTGTTTGCTGCCATGCTCAGTCTGCTATTCCAACACAGTTGTGGTTTTCTCTTAGCATGGTTTGTTTTGGTGCTGTTTACACCACGAGCATCTGCACCATTCCAGCTGCACATCGGTGAGGGGATGCAGCCTGAAGCAGCCTCTTTGGCTGCAGATAGAGCATTGTGGAGCTTCATGCAACAGTGGTCACTGGCACTGACCTTGGAACAGGCTGGAGCCAAGCTACTGAAATGGGACTAATTCTCATTGTGTATAGAGTGGAATTAATATGGTGAGTGCAAATAGTATGGACTGGCAAAATTGTTGGCCTTGAGGTGGCAAAGCACAGCAGTAAGAGACCACTGTTATGTCCTATTCTTCTTTGCCATGCACGTCTGCACACTGTGCATTCCAACAGTGCCACAAATCCTGCCTTCCTCAATAAGAATAGAAATTCAAAGCATGCAAAGGATAATTGCAAAATGATTATTATAACTTGGAGGAAGCAACAGATGCTTCACTTGTTGCTGTGACTTGCTGAAGGAGTACTAATTTTCCAAGCCTATTGAGTATGTGTTAATCAGAGACATTTCTGTCTGTTCAGGAGCATGATGAGATCCCTCCAAACATCCTTTGTCTTGGCCCAGTAATACAATGCCAAGGGATGCACTTCTGGGACCAGCAAAATAGATTTTGCCACCACCTTTATATTTTGTTTCTTTCAAATTTTCTTAACTGAGCAAGTAATCTATCTGGACATAATATGCAAAGTAATCATTGGTGCTTTAAAATAACACTGTAAAACCCCAGATCCAGTTGTAAAAAATAATTCTAAAAAAATCTCTGTTTTTACTAAAGATAAGGTTAATGCCTGTTGAAATTAGTACTGCTGATAAGGAATTAACACCTGGAGCTCATAGGTGGGGGTACACTGAGAATTGCATCCTCCCTTCTGATCCGATGGTCAGAACCTGCTGTGACTTCTGCTTAGCAAGATCCCAGCCCAGCTCTACAAAACCAATGGCTGTCACTGCAGTACAAGAAAATGAAAGAGATTGAACAGTCAGGACAGTGATTGTGGTATTGCTGGGAATGTAACAAAAAAATTCCTTGTACCTTAGTGAGAAGGAAGTCTGGAGCACAAGTCATATAGGGAGCAGCTGAGGGAACTGGGATGGTTCAGCCTGGAGAACAGGAGGCTCAGGGGAGACCTTACAGCTCTCTACAACTGCCTGAAAGGAGGTTGTGGTGAGGTGAGGGTCAGCCTCTGCTCGTAGGTAACAGTGAAAGGGCGAGATGAAATAGCCTGAAGTTGCACCAGGGGAGGTTCAGGTTGGATATTAGGAACAGTTTCTTCTCGTAAAGAATGGTGAGGCACTGGCACAGGCTGCCCGGGGAGGTGGTAGAATCGGTCCCTGGAGGTGTTCAAAAAACATGGAGATGCAGTGGTACTGAGGGACATGGGTTAGTGGGCATGGTGGGGATGGGCTGGTGGTTGGACAAGATGACCTTAATGATTCTATGATTTGAAGTGCCCTGTGGAATTTCCGTAGTGTTGCACTGAATTTTCCATGCCTGGCAATGTGAAGTAACTCAGTGACATTATAGCCATGTCAGCCTACAGTATGGGTGTAAAGCACTGCACAGCTATCTCTGTGCAGGGGTCATTTTTATGCACACTTTCTCCATGAGTTGGAGCCAAGGTCAGGGAAGGGATCACAGGGCAGGCATCACAAAATCTAGATTTTGCTATTTAGGGAAAAATAGGATAGAAGAAGCGAGGGGAAGTTGTAATGTTCTACACTAAAAGTCTTTGAAAGTTCTCACAGCCAGAACAACAACTTAGCAGCAATAATTCTCCCAAACGCTGGTTTACAATCCTGGATGCCTCAAATAGTCATTGACAAAGCAGTTTCTAAAAGCACAGAATTTCTACTTTGTAACATATTTTTTTAAATGACATTCTTCACTGATTTTTATTTTGTAGTAACACAAATGCTTCATGTAAGCAATAACTGAACCTCTATTTTGAAAACCAGTTTCTGTTCCTTACTCAGCAGGATATCCAAAATTTGGTGCTGTGTGCCTATTTCAGATTTCCTTCCATACACAGACTCATGTTTTCAAACTGTGAAGGTTTTCATTGTCTCAGAATACAAAGTAAAGCAAGTGATAAAAAGCGACTGAGATCAACAAGCAGTACTGCCAACTCCCTGCAATGCTCCCTTTCTAATTCAGCTATTGGTGGAGAAATTGTTTCCAGACACCTTGGGATGCAGTTATGAGCATAAGCCCAGACACCTAACTGCAGGATGCAAGTGCTCGGAGTTATGGGCAGTACGTACTGAATTACAATCTTGGAGCATCATTTATTCTTTACAGTGCATTTCTGAACATGTTAAGTGTTGATTTTTGTTGGCTTAAGATGCTAGAAAGATTTAGCAGTAGTAAATTACTGGATGTTGGACTGGAAGCAAATGCTCTTAGTGTCCCAAAACTACAGCAGGTATGGTTTTGCAGGTAGTAATAACCAACTTCAGAACTATCATGTTCAAAGATTAGAAACAGGCTGCATTCAGGTGCACACAGCCTGACTTAACCAGGATGTGCTGAGGTTTGACAGCTATGCAGGTGAACGCTGTATCAGATAAAAATAACAGGAGATGAGGTTGCATAAACTGTTTGGATGCTCTGCTCAGTAACATAAGGATTTTTTCAATGTATTCAGAAGTTTTGAGAGTCCTCACGCTACTCCTTGCTAGACATCAGCTGACAGCTCCCTTCATGGCTTGCAGCAAATGTTGGTTTTGTGACAGAGCAGTGTCCTGTTCCTATGGGAATGAACTAGGGGCACGAGGGAAAGGGATTGCAGTTGGGAGACAGAGAGATGGGTCATGGAGACATAAGGAAGGAGAGAAGCAGGAGGTGCGTGGAGGAGAAGGAAGCATGTGTCCTCATGCATGGGTTTTCCTCCCATGTTTCCCAAGCAGCGGGAAGGGAGAAGGGTGTCTGCCTATGGGTCTTCGTTCTGCACGAGGCGGTGTGGCACACCTGGAGTTGGAAGACAGGAGGTACTCCCTGTGGGCAGGAAGAGGGCAGAAGGCAATGAGCACTGAGAGGGGAAGATGTGGTAAAGGAGAGGTGTTCATCTTAAAGACCCTGGGAAGCTCCGCCTTCTTGTTAGTGCACCTCTGATCTGTAGGCAGCACTTCATGTGATTTTTCTTTTTCTTTCTTTCTTTCCTTCTTTCTTATTTTCCTTTCCTTTCCTTTCCTTTCCTTTCCTTTCCTTTCCTTTCCTTTCCTTTCCTTTCCTTTCCTTTCCTTTCCTTTCCTTCCCTCGTCAGCAGTAGTGCATCTCCAGGTACTTACACCACATTCTAAAACATATGGCAGAGCACTTGCCCATATGGGTTGGAAGAGTGATGTGCATTCAGCAGATCACACTCAGAACAATCAAAAGTGGAGTTTTTCATTCCAAACAGGAAAACATGGCAATCATCTCACATTGTCTAGACTTTCCTCTCTGTGTCATCTTTACATATTTTGCAGCTATTACATTCGTTTCCTTTGGCTTCCTTTCTGCCAAGATCCATCTGCAGCTTGGAATCAGTGAAGATAGCTTTTCATATTCATGATGTTAGTCACAGCGAGCATATTTTGAGTGAGTGCTTCTGATGCTTCCATCCGCTTTTGTTATAGTAAATTAATCCTGTTCTGCTGGGGTGATGGAAACGGGTTGGGTTTGTGTTTATTATTATTTATCTATGCAGATACTGTAAATGAAACGAAAAAAAATCATGAAGCCCATGTTTTAGAATAGCAATCACTCTCGTTTCTCTTAGAAGATAAATTATCAGACAGATATAATAGAGAAAACTCATTATTTCAGCTGTGAAAATGTATTAATTAAAGGTCTGTGCCACAACAAAAATAGGAAGACAAACTTATTGCAGAGTAATTTTCATTCAGAACTAGTGGAACTGTAGCTTGCAGCTAGCTGGAAGTGGGGGTTAATGTTCTCCTTCCCAGACTGCTGCTGCTGCTGCTGGGATTTGAAATGACTCTTGACAACTCCAAGTAACCCTGCACAGATGAGCAGGCTGCCCGTCAATGGGTGAGGGAGGGGGCTTGGCTATTGCTGGAACTCTCTCACATGTGAGAGGGCTGAAGGTGAACTTGAATTAAAGCCTCAAATTCCTGGTGCTTTCTCTGCTGAAGAGAATGTACCTTTATGATTTCACTGCCTTTGGGTCTGTGCAACAATTTACCAGGCAGCCAAAATCTTTGGTGCAGACAGGGGCTTGGTGGGTGCTCAAGTTTGAGGGAGCAACGGAGTGCTTCACCCCATTCCCAAATTTCCTGTGTGTATCCCATTGGTGCTCTGGAAATAGGGGAATTGGTTTGATTTTGCTTGTACAATGGGTACATCTCTGCTGTGTGACTAGTTTGCTTTCTTCTAGTTAGTTAGAATGAAATTTCTGTCTGACATGAGATCAGGAGTGCTTTGTATCCAGTCATTTTTCCCCAGTTAAAAAATGATTGCGTTTTGTCATTTTGCCAAAATACACATATATGCATGTATCAAATTTGTGCTTTTAACCCCAGCCTGACACCCCTGTAGAACAGAATAACAGCCCCATCCCTGGAGGTGTTCAAGGCCAGATTGGATGGGGTCCTGGGCAGCCTGGTCTAGCATTAGGTGGGATGATTGGTGGCCCTGCATGTGGCAGGGGGGTTGGAGATTCATGATCCTCGAGGTCCCTTCCAACCCTGGCAATTCTGTGATTCTGTGAACAGGCAAATTGCAGCACCAGGGCCTCGAATGCTCTGGCTGGTGAGGAGGCACGGCTCCGGCAGGATCCCATGAGCAGGTACTGGGTGCTGGGCACCAGGAGTTGGGCGCTGCCTCGTCCTGCCTGCAGGTGGGGACGGAAAGCTGCGTTTTGAAGGCACGGCTCTGCTGAAGTGCTGCAGTTCGTCATCACCTCTGCGAGAAATTGGCTTAAATGCATGTAACTGCATGCAGCTGTAGATCCATGTGTGCATTTAGGATGCTTTGTGTTATATATAAAGTAGGAAATAGTAAATAAAACCGTGGCAAATTGTCCTTGGTCTATCCAAGCTGAGTGACAAGCAGCAGGAAAGCAGGCTGGCAGCTCTGCCTCTGATTCTCTGTGTTCACAGTGATACAGGTTGGACTTTGGGAACAGTTTCTTCTCAGAAAGAATGACGAGGCACTGGCACAGGATGCCCAGGGAGGTGGTGGAGTCACCATCCATGGAAGTGTTAAAGAAATGTGTGGACATGGCACTGATGAACATGGTTTAGAGGACATGGTGGGGATGGCTTGATGGACATGGTGATCTTAGAGGTCTTTTCCAACCTGAATGACTCTATGATTCTGTGATAGGGCTGCAGAGTGGCCAGGCTGTGATTGGTATGGGGATAGGGACCGCTGCTGTGTGTCACCCCCACGAGCCCAAAACCACAGATTTATGTTTGATTTCAACTGAGTCAGTTTTATTTTTTATTTCATAGGGAATTTGCTCTGATTTATATGATTTTGGGCTTTATAAAACTTATTCCTGTAAAGATACGATCAAAGTATTTTTGCCGCTTTAGAATTTTCCTAAACATGGAGAGACAAGCTAACCCCTAATTTACTTCCCCAAAAAGAGCATGCTTTGTAAGAAACAGTATCACTAAGCAGAGGAAAATCAGGACTACTTCAGCTGGTTTGCATCCTGCTGGGAAGAGCCCATGGAGCACAATGCATGTCTGTGAGCACTGCTGCCATCAGCTGTTCTCCT